TTCTGGGAAGATTTACCCAGATTGCTCAACAAGATTATAAATCAGAAAATTTGCAGTTGGAGTTCTTGGACTACTACCTAGCAGAGTTGAGTTTGTTGGACTATAGCTGCATAAAGTTTTTACCTTCTATGGTGGCTGCAGCTGTTGTATTCCTTTCAAGGTTCACACTTAAACCAGAAGTGCATCCATGGAACCGAGCACTGCAAGATTACACCGGATATAAGCCAGCTGATTTTAAGGAATGTGTTTCTGTCATACATGACTTGCAATTGAGTAGAAGAAGAGGATCTTTGGTGGCTTTAAGGGAGAAATACAAGCAGCCCAAGTTTAAAAGCATTTCAGCACTGTTGTCTCCAATACACATCCCGGATTCCTATTTTGAAGATCCAACAATGTAAAAACATGGGCTGGTGAATGAAGATTTGCATTATACAGAGTAGAGTAGAGAGTTTTGTTGAAGCCAAGCAGTCTTGAGGTGTAGGAAATAGGAATATTCTTTATTGCTGCTTGTTTTGACCTAACTTGATTGGTTTGCATAATATTGTAAAATGGTGTAATACAATTCATAATAGAATATATGTTTCTTTACTTTCTTATTTGTAATACAATTTTACATTAAAATTTTTATTTGTAATACATTATAATAATATTCAAATTTATATTTCTATTCAACAATATTATTCCGTCACTACTCTAATTCCTATGAGACAGAATAAGTTTAATATTGAATAGATTGCACAATAATATATATATATATATATATATATATATATATATATATATATATATATATATATATATATATTGAAATTAAAATAACTAATTCATTAATAATACGATGAAAAATTTACAATAAGATCAGATGGAATGATAAAATATTTTTATAATCAGACATTGAAACAAATTTTCAATGCTATACAAAACTTGAATCTTTGACCGTTTTTCAAGATTGAAGCTGAATTCGTTTAGAGAACTTGAAACTTCTTTGATATTGTTAATGATTTTGCTACTCAAGTCTGACTCTATTGCGGCTCTTTTGTCCATAGACAATATCTCTATTAATTTGAACTGCACATTAAGGTTCAAATCTTCTTCGGTGCACAGGATGAAGCAAATATACTCCATTATCAAATAAATTGTTTAACCTTATGAAAAAAGAATTTGTCAAATAAACGAGAGGAAAACTCGCTAAAGACACGAGAGAAAATAACTCGCAAACGAAACGAGAGGAAATAACTTTAACAAAACAACATATGAAAATCAAATGTAAAACAGCCAAAACAAATCCTAAACACCAAACCACTAACTAATATGTGTGTATATTCACACACACACACACACAATATATATATATATATATATATATATATATATATATATATATATATATATATATATATATATATATATATATATATATATATATATATATATATATATATAGGTTTAAGTTCCAGTGCGGGTGAATGCTTCTTGTCCGATTGTGCGGGTGATTAATCTGTTTTAGTTTTGTACTTAATGTGTGTGAGTCTTGTACTTAAGGTGCGTGCGGTTTGTGCTTAATGTACGTGAGTGTGTAGTGCTTAATGCGCGTGGGTTTTGTACTTAAGGTGCGTGAGTCTTGTGCCTAAGGTGCATGAGTTGTGTACTTAATGTACGTGAGTCTTGTGCCTAAGGTGCGTGAGTTGTGTACTTAATGTGCGTGAGTGTGTACTTAATATGAGTTTTTGTTAAAACTTGGCATAAATATAAAATATTCATATGCTCTGTTTGTTTTTAAATTATTCTTATTTTCTTCCGTGTTTTTTTTTTTTAAAAGAAAAATATACAAATAAGTCATCTTAACTTTTTGAAAAATATCAATGCAGATATCAAATTCAAAAAAGCTTCAAAATTATCTACGAATTCAAAAAAAGTAGTAATTAACATTTTTAACAGGTAAATTTCATATTTTTATTACTTAATTGCCATATGTTTTACTATTATTGTTGTTGTTGTCGTCGCCGCCCAATATGAAAGGTCACGATACCGAATGATGTTTGCTACTTTTTTTCTTAGGTACAAGTTTGCCGGTCAATCGCCGGCCAAAAATTCAAACCGTACGCACATACTAAAAATCATATCATGGCCTCCGTACAACATTTTTGGTTTATGGATTTTAAAAGATTAGGAATGTTATTCCATGAGAATGGAATATAATATAAATTGTATTTCATTGTTTGGTTCACTGAATGATAGACTTTAGGAATATTATTTCAGTGTTTGATTGATTTAAAGAATATAAATGTAATATATGTTTAAAGACGTAAATACCCTTATTAAAAATATATAATAATAATAATAATAAATTAATAATAATTCGTCTCTATAATGTTAATGATAATTTAGGGAAAAAGTAATTATGACTCACACTCGATAATGAATTTTACAATTATCCTATTATTTCAAGACAAAAAGTACAATTTATCCTTATTATTACTAGTATTTTCACCCGTGCGATGCATGGAATAAATTTGTTATAATATTTTAAGAATATTTGGATCGATATACAATTATATAAATTATAACATCGAATATTATATAATGCAATTGAAGAATTGAGTTGTATCATCTATATTTTCTGATGTTATCATTATTTGAATTCGAGCAAATAATTGTCCAATTAATAGTCAATGTGTAAATGTACGCATCCGGTGCTGAAACTTTAGAGATTTTATATATCAGTGTTTATGATTTGTATTAAGTGGCAAATTTGCTCGTTGTCTAGCAACCCACTTATATAAATCGTTTGCTATCCTAATTTATTTGTATGGAAGATATATTTCTCTGTAGATATATACCAATTTTGTCATCTCCGCATAAAAAGAAAACATAATATCACTGGTTGGAATTACACATTATTGAAAACCTCTTTGTAGACGATATTGGTAGTAGCAACAAAATATTGTCCACCCTTGTCTAGAGCTAATACCTTCAGGGCATCATAATGGGTAACCCAGGAAAAAGCCACATAAAATTGACCATTGCCCATTGCATTACGATTTTCTCTGAGAAATCAATGAGCTTAGATCCATATCTATCTCATATAATACATATACTATAGTTAATCCGTTTCTTTTTGAAATAGTTAATCGGGGGTGATTTAGAATTTTGAGTTAAATAGTAATATTCATTTTCTTTTTCAATTTGTCTAATTTATGTGCCATTTTTATTCATAGTCAATTATTTCTTTTTAATACATATCAATTAGTTAATTATTAATAACAATTTTTTTAAATATTTCCAATCAATTATTAATTATAGATTCTTTTTTTTGCAATTTACCTATACTATTTTTAATTCGTTTTCTTTTCGAAATAGTTAATCCGAATCATTTATAATTTTCTGTCAATTATTAGTATTCAATTCCTTTTTTTTAATTGACATATAATTAACATAGTCATGCAATAACGTAGTAACAATCTTCTATGTGCAAAGTATTCTCAAAATAGTTTGCTAATTGCATGACTATTTCCTCTGGAAATCAATGATGAGTTCAGATCCATATGTATCCCATATAATACCAATATTATAGTTAATCTGTTTTCTGTTCGAAATAGTTAATCGGTGATCATTTTTAATTTCTAGCCAATTCTTAAAATTTATTTCCTTTTTCAATTGACATAATTTTTGTGCCTTTTTTTTTTTTAATATCTCAGTCAATTATTATTTTACTACATATCAGTTAATTTATTAATTATTAATAATAGAATTTTTTAAAATATTTCTAGTCAATTATTAATCAAATTCATTTTCCAATTTATCTATATTATTGTTTGGGCGGTCTGGTCATTTCCTTTTTCATTTGAATCAATTTGTGATATTTTTAATTTTTAATCAAGTATTAATATTAATTTTACTTTTCAATTAGCCTAATTTCTGTGCCATTTTTATTCTCAGTCAATTATTATTTTTAGTACATATTAATTAGTTAATTATTAATAACAGTTTATGTTTAATATTTTCAGTCAATTATTAATAACAAATACTTTTTTTCAATTTACCTATAATATAGTTAATCCATTTCTTTTTCGAAATAGATAATATGAGGACCATTTTAAATTTTTAGACAATTATTAATATTCATTTCCTTTTTCAATTTGCCTAATTTTCGTGTCATTTATATTCTCAGTCAATTTTTTTTTTTTTTTTTGTAATACATATCAATTAGTCAATTATCAATAACATATTCTTTTATATATATATATATATATATATATATATATATATATATATATATATATATTTTCAGTCAAATATTAATAATAGATTCATTTTCCAATTTATATATACTATTGTTTGGGCAGTCTGACCATTTCTTTTTTTCATTTCGATTAATTTGGGATCATTTTTTATTTTCAGTCAATTATTAATATTCACTTCATCTTTCGATTGCTCTAATTTCCATGCAATTTTTATTCTCAGTCAATTAATCTTTTTAAATACATATCAATTAGTATTTCCAATAAATTATTAATAACAAAATACTTTACCAATTTACATATACTATTATTTGGACGGTCTGGTAATTTTTTTTTTATTTTTTTTTATTTTGTATCTGAGTCAATTTGGAATCATTATTAATTTTCAGTGAATTTTTAATATTCATTTCCTATTTCAATTGGCCTAAATTTCGTGTCATTTTTATTCTCAATTAATAATTAATTTTTGTAATATTCTTTTTTAAACTATAATTTCACATCTGAACATGTTGTGAATAAACAAATAAAACAAATGCACATTCAAAGTAATGTAAAACCATGCAATCTTACAAATTTAAACAAAATACAAAAATTTAAAATATAACAAAAATATTGAAATGACCATGGACAAATGCCTGTAAAATGTCAACCATCAATCATATGAACAATGTTTAATGCGGAAAGGCATAAATGGCTAGGCTCTTAACACGAAAACATTTTATTAATAATTTCAATCCAACTTCTCAACATTCACAGCTTTTAACAGATCCACCATCCATCCTTTGCATCATATTGCTTGTTTCGCTCCAAAGTTCCAATAGGACTTTCAACCACATCTCCATCCAGAAAGTCCTAAAAGATAGGAAAAGTCAAATAACTAAATAAAGTTACACAAAAAGGAACAAATGTTAGTGGCAAATAAGTAATCACAAATGTAAACAATGCTGCACCTCATCAAAGAAATCATCACCTTCTTTGTCACAAATATGCCTAGGGAAAATTGCATCATTGAATTCTCTCACAACTGTGTTAAAATAGAACTTCAAAAAATTAGCAATCACAAAAAACTCTTTATACAAAAAAACCCAACCTTCTTTAAATCGCTCCGAATACTTTTGAACATAATCTTTAGGAATATGCGCATGAAGAAAAGTTTCCTAAAATTGAAGTGTTACAAAAAGATATAGTAAAAAATCATATGCACAAAACATTTTGAATTAAAAAAATATTCAAATGATAATACAAAAAATACAATGTCTCTTCATCATGAAAGATGCACTCTATAGACTTTACTATTTCAGCACCTCTTCTCTCTAAATCTTACAGGTACGCACCACTCTAACCTTTATTGCATTCCTCTGATCTGTTCTTAGGAAAAAGTTAACGCCCAACAATGTTGATTGAAGTTGAATCCATGCGTATTTGGTGTAATAAGATTTCTATGCTGATTTGTATTCTGCTAAGATTCAAATGTTTATAACCGAGAGGAAGTTTACAGCTATACGATTAGCATAATGAAGTGTATAAATAATACTCTATAGCTATATGTTTTACAAAATCTTCTGTTTAATTACATAAATTCTAAAAGAAATGGGATTCTTGCTTTATTTGTTTTCCATCTTTACGCAAAATCTTCCTCATAAATTCTATATATTACTGATTGTTTTAATAAGCTTATGATGGATTAGCTGTTTCAGCTTGCAGAGACTTGTTGCTTTCTTTTGTTAATTGCTCTATTGATTATGTTCCTCACTTTTCTAATACGTTAACTCACTCGTTAGCTTCGGTAGCCTATGCACAGGCAAACTCTATGTATTGGGAGTCTATACTTCCTGACTTTTTGGCTTATTTGCCTATGTAATATATGCAGTGCTTTGCTTTAAAAAAAAAAAAAAAAAAAAGCTTATTACTATTAAATTTTAGTCAATATATACTATGAATTTTGTAATACAAATGAGATTCTAATATATTACTTACCGTTCATAAAATTTATTGTAATAGTTATTTGTTGTATCGATTCATTATATATTAGTTTTTTTTTTTTTTTTTTGAAAATTTTCTGCGGTGCTTCATTAGAAAAATGCTGAAATAATGTCTGGTGGGTGAGTATCCCAGTACATAGTATCAGGTTGCTGATAAGCCGTAGTGGCTAAAGCATGAGCTAAATAATTGTCCGATCTAGAAATATAATTAAAAGAACATGAGTGAAAATAAACGGCAATTTGCCTGCAGCTATCAATGGCATAGCCAACGTAAGAGCGAAACGCAGTGGTTGATGATGTAAGGTAGCGTTGTAGTGTCAAACAATCCGTGTAGATCTCAATATTCTGTTCACCTCGATCCTTTAGCCATGATAAAACTTCCTTACACGCCAAAGCCTCAGCCATAAGTGGTGACGTACAGGCCGGTAGCGGCGCGGTTAGTGCCGAGATATAGGCTCCATCTCCATCTAATAAAACGGCCCCTACAGTTGCATTCCCTGTCTCGTGTAGATATCCCGCATCGACCCTGCATCTTCTCACTGGCGGCACAGAGGATCCGGCGGCGTCGGCAGCACCGCGGCCGGCGGTGGGACTCGCCTGGGCAGCGTGGCGGTTTTCTGTCGGCAGCGTAGCAGTGGCAGTGGCAACCACGGCTGGGCGGGACTGAGTCCATGCGGTCTTGGCTGCCGCTGCCGCTCTGAGTAGGGACCCCGGGCGTGGTAAAAACGCCTCCCAAACTGCACCATTTCGAGCTTTCCAAATATTGTATAGAATTGATGCTGCATATAACATTCCATCAGAATCTAAAATATTTAGAAGTTCCCCAAACCAAACATGAAAAATATCCGTGACAATATTGGGGATTGTAAGGTTGGATTGATCCCAAATGTTTCTTGCAAAATCACACAAGACTAATGCATGCATTGTATTCTCATGTGATATCCCACACATAGCACAATATGGGTTCACCTCCACCCTCTTTAAAAGCAAGTTCGTAGTTGTAGGCAAAATATCACAAATAGCTCTCAAGAGGAACATTTTCCACTTTGGTGGAATTTTTAGTCTCCATAAAGCTAACCAATTAGTAAAGGGACCTTGATTATTCTCATAATCTCCCACCAATCGTCTGTACCCGCTTTTCACAGAATATAATCCTCTCGGGTCCCCGTACCAATACCATGCATCATTATAATCCCGGGATACAGGTACTCTCATAATTCTCTCGACATCCGTAGGTTGAAATAAATCTGATAAAATTTCATTATCCCATGTACCAGTTTGTTGATCTATTAGCCCCACTACTCTGGCCTCTCGTAACTGTATAGGCATCTCTGTTTGTATCATAGGGTCCTGGTCATCCAGTAACCATGGATGGGTCCATATAGATGTAGTTTCCCCATTCCCAATTCTTCGTCTGACCCCACTACAAATTATGCTCTTTGATGCCATTATACTCCGCCAACAAAAACTGGGATTATTTCCTACCTGCGCATCAAAGAAAGTATCCCTGGGAAAATATCGGCTTTTGTAAACACGAGCTACTAAGGAATCAGGCTTAGTGAGCATTCGCCATGCCTGTTTCCCCAACATAGCTAGATTAAATGCACGTAGGTCCTTAAAACCCAATCCACCATACTTCTTAGGAACACATAGCTTGTCCCAAGCCTTCCAGTGAACTCGGTTGTCCGTCCCAGAACCCCACCAATATCTATTCATCGTTCTTTCTATAGCCGTGCATACTGATATAGGTAGCAAAAAAACACTCATTGAGAAGGTAGGCATAGATTGTGCCACACTTTTCAACAGTATTTCTTTCCCTGCCTGAGACAATAGCCTTTTATTCCACGACCCAATTCTTTGGCGTATTTTATCCTCAATATATGCAAAAGCTGCCTTTTTATTCCTACCCACAAACGAAGGTAGACCCAAGTACTTGCCAAAGTTTGGTGCCTGCTCCACCCCCAAAACTTGGGCCACACTTTCCCTATCCACATTACTCGTATTCCTGCTATAACAAATACTCGACTTGTGGTAGTTAACCACCTGTCCCGATAGATCCTCATATACAGTCAGACATTTCTTTATCTCATTAGCCTCTTCCACATTAGCCTTAAAGAATAAAAGGCTATCGTCCGCAAAAAACAAATGAGAAATCTGAGGGGCACCTCTTGCTACCCTACATCCATGAATTAATCCCGCTCTGTTAGCCTGTTGTAGTAACAACGAGAGTCCCTCTGCACAGATAATAAACAAATATGGGGATAGCGGGTCTCCCTGTCTCAAACCACGCGTGGGTATTATTGGGTCACTCCTTGAGCCATTTATCAGAATACTATAGGAGACTGTGGTCACACATTCCATAATCAAATCAACCCATCTATCATGGAAACCCAATGCCATCATCATATTACGGAGAAAAGGCCACTCCATTCGATCATACGCCTTAGCCATATCCAGCTTAAGTGCACCCCAGCCCCTCAATCCACACTGTTTTCGATTCAGAAAGTGCCCCACTTCTGCAGCTAATAGAATATTATCTGTTATCAATCTATCTGGGATAAAAGCACTCTGTGTCTCAGATATTATTCCTTCCATCAAAGGCTTCATTCTATTAGCCATCATTTTAGCTATTATTCTGTAAATGACATTGCTAAGTGCTATAGGGCGCAAATCAGTTACTAACTCTGGATTACTCTTTTTAGGGATCAACACAATATCTGTCTCATTCAAGCCAGACGGGAGGTCACCTGATTCAAGACAGTTTAGCACAAAACTCGCAACATCCCCTCTTACCACATCCCAGAAATGCTGATAAAAACCCGGATTCATTCCATCCGGTCCCGGTGCTTTATCCGGATACATTGCAAACAATGCATCCTTTACTTCCTCCAGATTAAATGGCCGTAATAGTGAGTCATTCTGCGCCTGTGATACCCTGGGTTCTATCCCCCCAAAAAAATCATCTCCAGTTCCCGGACCCCCAGAGCTGAAAATATTCTTAAAATAGTCCAGAATGATATCTCTCATGGGATCCCCCTCCAACCAATCCCCATTGTCATTCATTAATCTAAGTAAAGTATTCTTTTTCTTTCGGTGAGAGGCATACCTGTGAAAGAATTTGGTATTGGCGTCAGCTTCCTTGAGCCAGTGCTGCTTGGCTCTCTGCCTCCAGTATGCATCCTCCTGGGCCTCAGTGCGACTCAGAAGTTGCTCTATTCGCTGAAACTCGACAAGAGAGGCCGAGTCAGTGCATCCTCTCAAACGTTGTTGATCCCGTTTCAGCTGCACAATCTGTTTCCCATACTTATGGAACCGATCTCCACCCCATCGTGTTAACCGGTTTTCACAGTATTGAACACAACCCTGTAAACCCTGCCCTCTCCCTTCCTGCCACGCCTGCTCCACCACACCCCTACATCCCTCATCATATAACCATGTCATCTCAAACCTAAAACCCCTTCTTCTAACCCCATCCCTCCCTACCTCCTCCTGAACTGTGAAAAAAATGGCTGAATGATCTGACTTCCTGGTTCTCAAATTCATAACCTTTACATGGGGAATTATATTGCGCCACTCGTTCGTTACTAGGACCTTATCAAGTCTCTCCTCAATCCAGTTTGCAGTCCCTTTCCCCTTCTCCCAGGTATATGGGTATCCAATCATTGGCAACTGGGCCAATCCACAATCCTCAATCGTCTCCCCAAAACCTCGAAGAAGGCTATTCGGATGTGGATTTCCCCCTCTCTTCTCATACTGGTATAGCAAATCATTAAAATCCCCCACCACCACCCACGGGAGATTCGATTTTACCGCCAACATTCTCAACAAATCCCATGATTCAGCACGCCTATTACGGTCCGAATAACCATAGTAACACGTCATTCTCCAGGCCGGATTACCTGTCATAGTTACCTCAATATCAACGTAGTTCCTTGAGTAACTAAGGAGTCTCGCCGTATTATTCTTCTTCCACAATAACGCTAATCCACCACTCAAACCATCATTGTCAACATAAAATAAGCCTTCGAAACCGATCGTAACACGAAGACGCTCAGCATGATCTCGCGCTACCTTAGTTTCTATTAGAAATACAAAGTCGGGTTGCTTTTTGGACACCATGCCCACCACCTCTCGAACTGTCCGTGGATTACCCAAGCCACGGCAGTTCCAACTCAGCGTACTCATTAGCGTCGCCAAACAGTGATGATCACTGGAAAAAACGTAGGAAACCGTCGGAAACCTAGCAAACCCTAGGGGAGGAGAAAACTCTAGCAAACCCTAGAGAGAAAAAAAATAGCCACTAGGTCGATTGTGATTGAAAGAAATCATTATATATTAGTTAATTTGTGCTAAAATCATATTCTTTTTCCGTCATAAATAATTAATCTATAATTTTAATAATAAAATTGCCGATTAAATTTTCAGTTAAATATGAATATGACATATTTTTTTTAAAAAAAATAAGATAAAACAAAAATAAATAAGGGCTCAATCTATTTTATTCTATTATTGAAGATTGCGATTAGTAATTTTAATCTATAATTGTATTACGGATAGAAAAGTAGAAAATAATATATTGTATTATGTGTTAGAGATGTTATTATTTACATTATTATTTGTATTAGTGGTGTTGACTAGTCTTTATATTAGACTAGTTATTTATGGTTTTCCTAGTTAATAGGATTAGTTCACGCTGTGTATTTAGAATACTGTTCTGTAATCTCTATTGTGTTGGAATTGAAACTGCAATCCTTATCTCATCTGGTATCAAGCCGGGTTGGTTTCTCTCTCCTCCCAATTTCTCTTCGATCTTTTTCGATCGTCACCTCCTCCCCAAAGTCGACGGCGATACACCATGTCTACTAACTCATCCGAGAGGACAGTATCCGCCGGCGATCCTACCCTCCCTCACCCCACAGCAAATTCCCTGTCAGGAGCGCACCATTTTGTCTCCATCAAGTTGACGTATCGCAACTTCTTGTTTTGGCGAACGCAACTGGTGCCTTTCCTCGGTGGCCAAGAACTTCTTGGGTACGTTGATGGTGAGACCCCTTGCCCTCCATCGACCGTGTCCGCTGCTCCAGCCTCCGATGGCTCCACGTCCGCCGCCACCACAGCCGCGCCAGTTCCGAACCCCGAATTCCGTGCCTGGGTGAAGCAAGACCAGGCGCTGCTCTCCTTGCTGATTTCATCGCTCTCCGATGAAGTCATGCACCTGGCTGTCAGGAAAACTACATCACGCGCCGTTTGGGAATCCATAGGCGCTGCACTCGGGAGCTCAACACGGGCGAGGTGTCTCAGCTTACTCGGCCAATTCCATTCCCTCCGGCAAGGGAATAGTACGGCAGCCGAATATTTGGGGCGTGCTCAGCTGCTCGTGGAAGATTTAGCACATGCCAGTCGTCCCATCTCCCTGGACGAACAGAATCTGTTCGTGTTCCGGGGTCTGCGTCCCGAATACCGAGCCATGGCGTCTTCTTTAACGGCGACCGGTAATCCCGTGACGATCCCTCAAATCGCGGATTATTTGCGCGCCCAGGAGTTCATCTACTCCGACGAGTTTCCGGCCGGGACAGACACAGGGCTCATGACTCCGCCGACTGCCATGTTCGTTGGACGAGGCAGTGGAGGTGGCCGACGCGGTGGTGACAGTGGCCGAAGCGGCTCCGGCAGTGGCGGGCGCAATCGGGGTCGGGGTGGTCGCGGAAATGGAGGGCGTGGAGGTCGCGGTGGCACGCCGCGCTGCCAGATCTGTCGTGGATAAGGGCACACCGCCCTCTACTGCTACAAGCGGTACGCTCCGATGCCGCAGCCCCAGGCAAACATGGTGGTCTCCGGTGATGAGTCGGCAGCAGTCTCCACGGCGGCAGCAGGCTGGTTGCCCGACACCGGAGCCACGGCGCATGCAACCCCGGACCCATCCATGATGTCTCAGTCCGAAGAATATACCGGTGGTGACGTTCTTCGCGTGGGTAACGGGACAGGTTTGATAATTTCGCATGTTGGGCATGCTACTATACCATCTGCGTCAAAACCATTACGTTTGTCAAATGTGTTACATGTTCCAAAGTTGTCTGTACCTTTATTATCTGTTTCCCGTCTTACTAATGATAATGCTGTGTTTGTTGAATTTCACAAAAATTACTTTCTTGTGAAGGATACAATCACCAAGGCGGTACTGCTTAAAGGTTTCGTGTCGGGTGGCTTATACAAGCTCCCGGTCTCTCAGTCTAATTTCGCGTTTGTTTCTGCACGGGCAACTCCCACGATTTGGCATCGTCGCTTGGGACATCCAAACACTCATGTTCAAAGTCGTGTCCTAAAATCATGTCCGGTAGCTTCCAATAAAAACGAGTTGGGGTCGTGCACTTCGTGTCATCTTGGCAAGGCTTGTAGATTTCCACTAGATAGGGTTAATTATTCTAGTGAAAATGTATTAGACTTGTTATATACCGATATCTGGGGTCCGGCACCTGTAATGTCTATTAGTGGCTTCAGATATTTCTTATTATTTGTAGATGACTACTCACGGTTCTCCTGGTTTTATCCCTTACGGGTAAAATCAGATGTTTATAAAAGTTTTGAGTCTTTTCGTGTCATGGTAGAGCGCCAATTCGGGCGTTCTATCAAGTATATACAATCGGACCTTGGTGGGGAATATCGAAAATTACATAGCATATTCACCCAACTAGGCATAATTCACCGTCAATCGTGTGCCTATACACACGAGCAAAACGGCAGGGTCGAACGCAAAAACCGGCACATTGTTGAAACTGGTTTAGCGTTAATGGCTGAAGGCTCAGTTCCCCAACAACACTGGGACTTTGCTTTTGAGACAGCCACCTGCCTAATTAATTACTTGCCTACATCAGTCTTACAGTTTGAAAGTCCATACACTCGTCTATACAAAACTCCCCCACCATACACTTTCCTTCGAGTCTTTGGGTGCAAGTGTTACCCCTATCTACGGCCCTACAATCGGCACAAGATAGAGTATCGCTCTGCCCCATGTGTCTTCTTAGGTTACCCACTCAGCTTTAGGGGGTATAGATGCATGAACCTAACAAGTGGAAAAATCTACATCTGTCGCCATGTGCGTTTTGACGAGTCAATTTTTCCTTTTTCAGACATAACAGGCTCGAATCAAACTCCGACAGCCGCCACAGCTGTCCCATGGGCCGTAGGGCCGCTTGTGACTCACGAGTCACCTCCTGGTAATATTGACACAGTACCACGTGTTCAGCCGAATAGTCCTACACCGTTGGCTCGGGAATCACCGCCCTTGGCCATAGAAGGGCCAATTCTGACTCACACCGAGCCACCTCGGGTTCGAATCCGAAAACGCCGGACACAGGTTCAAGAACGTGCACATGTAATGAGGCTTAGACATCAAACCCGAGGCACTGATGAGCCATTTCAGGCGTTAAACGTGTCTGTTGATCCAACTTGTTACTCACAAGCGGTAGGGCATCCGCAGTGGCGGGATGCTATGGATCAAGAGTTCAATGCTCTTATACATAACGACACTTGGACACTCATTCCAGCAGAACCGCACATGAATATAGTGGGTTGCAAGTGGGTGTTCCGCACCAAACGAAATGCTGATGGTTCGATTGAGCGGTACAAGGCTCGACTTGTGGCAAAGGGGTTCAATCAAGTAGCCGGAGAGGACTTTTTGATACTTTCAGTCCTGTGGTCAAACCGACCACCGTTCGCCTGTTATTTTCTCTTGTCGTGTCTCGCAACTGGACTATGAGACAGCTAGACGTCCACAATGCTTTCTTAAATGGGCATTTAGCTGAGACGGTTTACATGAAGCAGCCACCGGGTTATGAAGACCCGACACACCCAGATCATGTGTGTCACCTTCAACGGTCACTATACGGACTTAAACAAGCTCCCCGGGCTTGGTTTAAGCGCTTACATGACTTTTTAATCTCTGCAGGTTTCTTATCCTCCAAAACAGACGTCTCCCTGTTCCACTACTCAGCTGGCACATCGCGTGTGTACTTGCTAGTTTATGTCGACGACATAATAATGATGGGGAACGACTCTGTTCTTATCTCTCAGTTGCTACAGCGTTTGTCCACTACTTTCAAAATCCGTGATCTTGGAGCACCAAGTTTCTTTCTCGGGATCGAGACTTTGGAAGTACAGTCGGGACTGCTCTTATCTCAGCAACGCTATATGAAAGACATTCTCAACCGTGCCGGAATGTTGGATTGCAAGCCTTTGGCAACTCCCGCTGCAGTCACTCAGCTGGTAACTCCGTCGGATGAACCGTTTGACAACCCGACGCAGTATCGACGTTTAGTTGGGGCACTTCAGTACCTGACTATCACGCGCCCGGATCTATCCTTTTCTGTCAATAGACTGTGTCAGTTTATGCATTCACCGACCAGTGATCATGGGGGTCTATTGAAGCGTGTGCTACGGTATGTCAAAGGAACTATCTCGTATGGTTTGCGTCTTTCCGCTTCTGCTTCGACGACTATACATGGTTTTTCGGACTCGGATTGGGCCGGTTGTCCCGTCGACAGGAAGAGCACTAGTGGGTACGCTGTATTCCTGGGTGACAACCTCATTTCCTGGCTATCTCGGAAGCAACGCACGGTCGCCCGATCCTCGATTGAAGCTGAGTATAAAGCTCTCGCCGACGTGTCAGCTGAGGTAACTTGGGTTGTTTCACTTCTTCGTGAACTTGGGCTACATTCGGGAGAGCCGTCCACACTCTGGTGCGATAACCTGGGTGCTACCTACCTTTGTGCCAACCCAGTGTTTCATGCTAGGACCAAGCATGTGGAGATTGATTTTCACTTTGTTCGAGACAAAGTGGCTTCGGGTGACTTGGTTGTTAATTTTGTTTCGACGAAGGACCAGCTAGCTGACATATTTACCAAGCCATTGCCAGGGCCCCGCTTTGCAGCTCTACGTGACAAGCTCAACATTGTTGCTCACCACTCTTGAGTTTGAGGGGGTGTGTTAGAGATGTTATTATTTACATTATTATTTGTATTAGTGGTGTTGACTAGTCTTTATATTAGACTTGTTATTTATGGCTTTCCTAGTTAATAGGATTAGTTCACGCTGTGTATTTAGAATACTGTTCTGTAATCTCTATTGTGTTGGAATTGAAATTGCAATCCTTATCTCATCTTATGAACTGTATTAACATATTTTAATGTACAATTGTAGAACGATTGAAATTATATTACCATATTTTACAATATTACGCAAATAACATTATATGAGTGTTTTAGGCGGAAAGTTAAAATGGAGAATTTTGTTTATATATATATATATATATATATATATATATATATAGTTAGTATAGATTATTATTATTATTATTATTATTATTATTATTAAATGACTAAACCCACAACACGCCGTATTATTTATAAAATAGTTATAATCGAATCAATTTAAAACAATTTATGTCTGGCACTGGGTAATTACTTACCATCATTCACCCGGGCTCTACATAGTTGTAGTATAACGATCAATGGATCCTTCTTACTGCTAATGAAACAATGACAGCAAGTTAAACTGAATGTTGCTTCTAGTATTAACCTCGGGATCCTGCTTGATAGTTTATAATTCATAACATTCCAACTATTTCATAATTATATTCTCAGTTAAACAAATCCTTTTCCAATTTGAATTTAGTTTGTGTCTACATAATTTTTCTATGTTTTTTTTTCTTTTGGCAGTATATATACTGTGATGCAAATGGTCGCAGGAGAGCAAAAATATTACAATCACTTGGAATTGAGAAGTAACTAAATGCATAAAATAAAAAGAAAACAGACGTCAAACTCATTGTTCTACCCAATTAGCTAACAACTATTTACCAAACACACCAAAATAGAATTGAAAAGGGAAAATGGTCAAATATGCCGTCGAACTTTAACTTAAAAGTCAATTAGGCCCCTAAACTTTTTAAAGGTGCAATTACACCCATCAACAATTCATTTAGGTTCAATGAAGCCCAAAAACAAGTTAATGACCTGCTATCACAGGTCATTAAGGTTCAGGCCACCTTCTGGCGAAATTTCTGGAAAAAAAAAAAAAAAAAAAAAGTGACCGGCGAAATTTCCGGCAAAAAAGTGACCGTCGGCGACGATTCGTCAGTCGCCGATCACTTTTTTTTTTTTTTTTTTTGCCAGAAATTTCGCCGGTCACTTTTTTTTTTTTTTGGCAGAAGGTGGGCCTGAACCCTAATGACCTGTGATAGCAGGTCATTAATTTGTTTTTGGGCTTCATTGCACTTAAATGAATTGTTGATGAGTGTAATTGCACCTTTAAAATGTTTAGGGGTCTAATTGACTTTTAAGCTAAAGTTCGAGGGCCTATTTGACCATTTTCCCAATTGAAAATTAGAGAAACGAAAGATTAGTAAAATAAAATCAAAACTATCAACGTTTACTACAAATCATAGAACTATAATTAATAACATTCACCTGGGAGTCATGGAGTAAGCACTCCAGTGATTGTTGGTTGACTGTGGAACGTGGATATTCCCTTGACAAATAACAATGCATGAGCTGGAGCCTTATACAACTTTTTCTCGTCTTGGGGGATAGGTCAGCTTTTTCTCGTCTTGGGGGATAGGTTGGAAGCAGACACAAAAACAGACTCCATTAGTACCAAAAAAAAAAAAAAAAAATTGTTGGAATGCACAGATTATAAGATTTCAAATCTCCAAAACTACAATATTATTGAATTTTTCATTTATTGTATTTGTAGTGCGAGATTTTTGTGCGTTCAAAGAGTTACGCATGGAGTATTTGTAGTGCCAAATAGAATATTTTTACGCATGGAGTATTTGTAGTGCCAAATAAAATATACTGTCCTATTGTATTACGAATAGGAATTTTAATGTAGAATTATAGTATGAATAGGAAAAAGAAACAATATATTATATTAGGAATTGTATTACACTATTTTGTAATATTAGAATAAGAATTTTAACATAGAATTATAGTACGAACATGAAAGTAGAAAACAATATATTTCATTAGAAAGCGAGATCTTTTAGGAATTAAGCGTGAAGTTAAAATTCAGAATTTTGTTTTTTATAAATAGTATAGATTATTACAATTACTATTACAATTATAATTACTATTAGTATTATTCCATAAGATTTTTAAATAATATTATTCTATAGCAATAGTAATTATAATATTACAAAAAAATGAATTATGAAACAAAATATTTATATAAATAATAAAATTTTTAAAGAACATTTAATTTAAATATTCAGAAGAAGAATAACATAATTTTAAAAAAAAAAAAAACAAAAAACAAAATACCCAAAACAATGAAATGATAGTAGAAATGTTCAAAAATTTCAAAACTTTCCCTGAATCTCAGTTACCCATTTAATTTCGTTCCTTACCCGAAAATCCAACCCCCTGAAATATAAAAACTTTCATTTGGCACGAAAACACCTGCGCGCAATTCCAAACTCAAAAAATTTCAAAACCTCAAAAAAATGGCGGATATATACACCCCAAACTCTTCCCCCCTCCCACATCTGCACTCGTCACAATCCTCTCTCTGTCTCCGTCTCTTTTCTCGATTCGAATTCCTGTGAATCGGAGGAGCAGAAAGGCAGAAGAGGAAGCTAGCAATGGCGGAGCAAGAAAACTGCATGAGAGTCACTCGCTGGGCGAAGAAGAGAGCGGCAGACGGACTTATTGTTGAACAACAACCGGGAAAGAAGAGGGTGGCGTTGAGGGAGATCAAGGACTTCCCAAATCAGATTCAAAATCTGGGGTCTAAACTTCACGGTCCCAAGAAGACTAAGCAGCAGGCGAAGAAGAAGGTGAAGAAGATCGTGAAAGTGGAGAAAGGGACTAATGGGGTGGAGAAGGATGGTATTGATTCCAAATCCGATGACCCTCAGATGTGCAGTGCTTATGTTTCTGATATTTACGAGTATCTGCGTCAAATGGAGGTGAGTATTTGAAACTTAAAACTTACATTTATTGATTTTGTTATTCTGGGTAATATTTGGATTTGGGTATTGATTGAATTGAGTTTCTGTAATTAGGCGCAAGAGAAAAGAAGACCTTTGTGTGATTATCTTGAGAAGGTTCAGAAGGATATTACTGCAAACATGAGAGGGATTTTGGTGGACTGGCTGGTGGAAGTTGCAGAGGAATACAAGCTTCTCTCAGATACTCTATATCTAACTATTGACTATATCGATAGATTCTTGTCCAAAAATCCAATCCCCCGGCAAAAACTTCAGCTTCTGGGTGTTTCATCAATGCTTATTGCCTCTAAATATGAGGAGATTAGTCCTCCCAATGTGGAAGATTTCCGTTACATTACAGACAATACCTATACCAAGCAAGAAGTAGTGAAGATGGAAGGAGATGTGCTGAATGCCCTCAAATTCGAATTGGGAAACCCCACGATTAAGACATTTCTGGGAAAATTTACCCAGATTGCTCAACAAGACTATAAATCAGAAAATTTGCAGTTGGAGTTCTTGGGCTACTACCTAGCAGAGTTGAGTTTGTTGGACTATAGCTGCATAAAGTTTTTACCTTCTATGGTGGCTGCAGCTGTTGTATTCCTTTCAAGGTTCACACTTAAACCAGAAGTGCATCCATGGAGCCAATCACTGCAAGATTACACTGGATATAAGCCAGCTGATTTGAAGGAATGTGTTTCTGTCATACATGACTTGCAATTGAGTAGAAGAAGAGGATCTTTGGTGGCTTTAAGGGAGAAATACAAGCAGCCCAAGTTTAAAAGCATTTCAACACTGTTGTCTCCAATACACATCCCAGATTCCTATTTTGAAGATCCAACAATGTAAAAACATGGGCCGGCAAATGCATTATATAGAGTAGAATAGAGAGTTTTGTTGAAGCCAAGCAGTCTTGAGGTGTAGGAATACTCTTCATTGCTGCTTCTTTTGACCTAACTTCATATGTGTCTTTAGAGTTTAGACAAATGTGGAATGAAATCTTTACTTAAACAGTGCGTTTGCACAATCTACAGAAGTCTTATGTTTAGAGTTTTTATATTTTATATTTTTTTTTGAAAACAGAGTTGTGATATTTTATTATGATTCATATATAATACTTGGGATAACTGTTAAAAAAAAGTAAAATAAAATCATTCATTTTAACTTCTTGTACAAAACAGTCATATGCTATTAAGGTTTGCGTAATATTGTAAAATAGTTTAGTACAATTTCTACATTAAAATTCATATTCGTAATACAATATAACAATATTAAAATTTATATTCCTACTCAACAATATTTTTTCGTCATTACTCCAATTCGTATGATACAGAATGAGTTTAATATGAAATAGATTGTACCTCCTAAGTTCTATACTATTATGATTTGTGTAATAATATAAGATAGTGTAATATAATTCCTAATAGAATATATTATGTTTTTATTTTCCTATTCGTACTACAATTCTACACTAAAATTCCTATTCATAATTCAATATAAGAATATTAAAATTCCTATTCCTATTTAACAAATATTGTATTGTGCCATCTATTTAATATTAAAAATACAACAATATTGAAATTCCTTAGTTTGCACAAAGTCTTTTGAGTTACTGCATTGTTTTTTTGTTTTTTTTTTTTTTTTTTTGGGTTGGGAATATTTTTTTTTCCTTTGTTTTTATTGGTATGCTGACAATTTGTATACAGCGGATGGGTGTTGGTGATTGTGGATTTGTGAGATGGTTTGACCCTCCAGTGTGTTTGAGATTCAAGATGATTATTCTTAGGTTGCTAAGAAGAATAAATTGGAATGAGCAAAAAATTGAAGTCCTAAAAGCTAAGATTAGAGACACTGCAAGCATTAAGACTCCTAATCCAGTGTGAAACTGAAATTGAAGGGTTTAGTTGTGTTAATTTTATTTCTTTTTCTTTTTGTATCAATGGTAGTGTTTGTTAGTAATTTGAAACCAAGTAGTGATGGGTTTGAACAACCTATTTTAGCTTAGGGTGGTTGAATGTAGAACTTGATTTATAAGAATGAAATTGTTTAACTGGAATGAATGATTAGATTATTTTAGCTTATTTTGCTCAGTTTGAAATTGGAATGAACATGTGCTAAAACCAAAATGCAGAATGAGTTCTCAGGAAAATTCTTGTGAAAGAAACCACTTTTATTCAACAAGCCTAAAACTTTATAACTAATTAGCTAAGACTAGATGAGCATTGCATCAAAATTTATGAGTAATCACCACTCCCCCTAATGAATAACTCAATTCAAGGCAATCAAAGTAAAATCAAAATGTCCGCATGGGTAGCTCAACTGGTCATAGGGGTGAAACTTTGGAAGAATGACTGAGATTGAGTCTCACCAGCGGCAGTGTGTGGTTCAGCCTTTGGAAGAAAGTAAAATCAAAAAATCAAAATTAATTTCAGTTGAATCACCATGATTTACATCCTCCACAGAGTCGGGGTGTGGAGGGCCCATCCATACCACAACCTAATCTAGCACAAATTTCAACAACTTGTTTGCCTTTGGTTCCATCATCTAGGATTTTTCTTCATTTTGGAGGTTGGCCAAAACTTATCTTCACTCTATGGGAATTAATTGACATTCCCCCCTCATTTTGTATTCCATGCAATCCTACATTACATTTGACCACGAACAACATGTGTTGGAAATAACATAATCAACAAGTTTGTAAACAAATACATGAACCGCAATTACAAATTAAATAGTTACCTGTCATTTGAGAATTTACATCATCAAATATTTGAATAATAAAAGATCAACTACAATATAGGACTACCAGATTCGGAGGATTTAATTGGGTAATAAATATAGTTGAGGACCAAATAGGTAGTTTCCCAATAGTCAATGGACCAAATTGATTATAAACTCGATTTATAATTTTAGAACCGGAATCGAACCGATATGGTGCCCTCACGTAAAATTTTCACTTTCTCTGATGCGCAAACACCGCTCTCGTTCAAAGTGACAAGTTAAAACTGTTTTTCTCCGATCAATCTCCGGGCGATCAGAGATTTTTTTTTTTTTTTCCTGTGGATCTTCCGGCCAATTCAAGGTACGCCTTGCGATCTGCTGACTTCATCAATTACCATTCGGTTCGAAAATTTACTGAAGTAATCATTATCATCATTAGGTCTTCATTTCCTGCAATTATTTGCATTTTTCGGGTCCAGTTTTCCCTTCTAATTAACATCGGTTAACTGAATTAGCTAAAAATAATAATTTGATTTTCAAAGTGAATTTCTTTGTTTCGTGATAAAGATGTCTAATATTGTGAAACTTTTGGTGGTGTGATGGTAATGTTGTGTGGGGCAGAATGAGCCAGGTGTTCGAAGGATACGAACGGCAATAATTTCCTATAAAAAAAAAACATTTTTGTATAGATTTTTTACCTTTGGTGGTTCCTCTCACTGAATCTGTGATGCTTTATTGGTTTAGAATGCTTTGATGAAAAAGAAACCTATTTTTAAAACTACTAGTAATTGAATTCTGAGAATGCTCCTTTTTTGTTTTTTGGAATGTGGAATGGGAGTATGGTTTTGGATTTGGTAAAAGGTTGCATAGGGGCTAGAAAGCATAAGGATACTCCCCTACATGGTAATATGGGACAAGTAATTGTTGTAGGACTAGATGCTATTTGAAAACATGGCTTTTGGTTTTGCAAGAGCTAGTTGGAGATCTCTAAACGGAACTAATTCAAGAAAACTCAAGCTCAAGTTTGTAGGGCTATGAGGTGAGAAGGAGTCAAGTAATACCGCACAACCATACTATTTTATGTTGAGCTCTATGTCACCTATGCAAACTTCGGCATTACTTATGTAGTGAATGGAGAAGTTTGAAAACTCTAGCTTTCTATAGGTAGTTATCACTTCATCTTCCAACTTCTTGACTGGGTGCTAATTCAAGTACTATGATTTGAGCCATTATCAATGTTTAAGCAATGCCAAACAAAAGTCTAGCATAAACCGCCTAATTTCAAAGTACATGAATTCTTGAACATGAAAGAGTCCTTATATGTAGTAATATTTTGAAATTATAATAAAACAGAATACTGCATCTTTGGAGTTTGTGATCTTTTGTTTATGCTGAATTCTTATAAAGAGCAATGATAGATAGGTTGTGATGAGATGCCAAAAGGAGACAAACTTGTCTTAAGGGGTTTAAAATTCCATGGATACCATGGGGTGAAGCCTGAAGAAAGGACTCTGGGTCAAAAGTTTGTAGTGGATGTGGATGCCTGGATGGACCTTCGAACTGCTGGTAAATCTGACCAGTTATCAGACACACTTAGTTACACTGATATTTACCGGTGAGTTTGGAGTAACTGTCTTCCTTCTATTTTTTATCCTACTTTAGTTTGAGTTAGATCAAAATATGAAGTAAATGGATGAACATTTTGAAGTGGGTTATAGGCATTTATGTTCTTCCGTTGTTTCCTTTGCATCTCAAAATGCAAGCGATTCAGATATACTCTGTATTAGATTTATTAGTAGAAGTCACTTGAAGTTTTTACTTTTTAGTATTCACCAACTCTAGATAAATCATCATTATATATAGATCTTATGAGCTTTGTGACTTCAGATGCAATTCTTTTCACAACGTTATCTTATTTGAACCAATTTTTCCACTAAGTTACTTTTGTTAAATTGATGTGGTCAACTTGGGATAGCTTTTATGACTGAAGTTTAAGCCACTCCTTCCCTACCAAAATCCCCCCACAAATGCATACCAAATTGCCCTCTTCCATTCATGTGAATATGTGATGACAATGAGCACAGAAGAAATGGAAGAATATCCCACTTCACACTATGTTTACCCATTTTGTGAGATGAGATTCCTTAAATCTTGCCTTCTGGAATAACAGGTTCAAAGGAACAATTATATTCTTTGGGAACAGATGCTTCTTTTGGCACAATATTTATCATTAATTATCATTTCAACATTTCGATTTGGCAGCATAGTAAAAGAGGTTATGGAGGGGTCACCACATAATCTTCTTGAATCTGTGGCTGAACACATTTCAACTACAACCCTGAGCAAATACCCCCAGGTAAATGCTGTGCGTGTTCAGGTCGGAAAGCCACATGTTGCAGTCCAAGGACCAGTCGACTACTTGGGCGTTGAGATCATTAGATATCGAGGCATTGCCATATAAATCTGCCAAGGCTAATATTCTGCTGGTCGATTCTTCACCGAAATCTATACAATGTGTGTTTTTATTGTATCATAATTAAACTCTTCTTCATTACATTATATCGACGAAACTTGTAGTTTGAATTGATTGATAATGCCAAGTTTTCTGTTTGATGTCTTACATTGTCTTGTCAGAAAATTTCTAGGTTGGTTGAAGAAGGCATTCAAAAATGCTATAACAACAATAACAATAAACATTCTAGGTTTTTTTGTTTTTGTTTTTTTGTTTTTTGTTTTGTTTTTTTTTTTTTGTTTTTTTTTTTTTTTTTTTTTTTTTTTTTTGGTTATGGCAAATTCTTATGTGACAGTGTCACGGGTCAAGATCGTGAAATAGATTTAACAAATAGTCAATAGACATTTTTAGTATTTAAAAATTAAAAAATTCCTAATGCGGAAAAGATTTGAATTGTAGAATGTTTTTTAATGATACATTTTGTAATAATTTTTCCGTTAAAACTTTTTCTTTCTAAATCGTAACAATTTCTCCATTAAAAAAACTTTCACTTTCTAAATTTCTTTGCAAATATTTTTAAAAATTTAACAAGTCCTTTCACGATGAGAACTATAAGAGTTGTATTCACGATGTTTATCCTTCAATTTAACCTCATCATCATGCCTTTGCTAAACTCTGGTCATTTTTTAAGAATTTAAGACCATTAGTGGTAATATCATAGTACTCGAATGATCATGGGGCATATTCCCTCTAAGGATGAGATTAGAGTTGAAAACCTTGTTACATTGATGGTATTTAAGTCTTTTAAAGAATAGTCTAAGGATAACCACGGTTCAATTCAAATTGATTGATTCATCAAACTAGCCACACTGTAACAATCAAATTGAACATAAAACCGTAGGGACGATTCTGAATTCGAACAAAAAAAATTAATTATTAAATTTAGACTATTTTAAAAATCTAAAAGATTGGGTCTTTTTGGAAGTAGCTCCATATCCAAAGCCAAACATCAAAGATTAATATTTGGTGCCGTCGTGAGGAACCATCACGGTGATTTCGTCGCACCATGCGGTGGGAGGCTTATGGGAGTTAGTGATGCTTATTTAGCGGAGGCCTTGGCTTTCAAGGAAGCTCTATCATGGCTCAAGAGTCAATTGGAGTCTTTGTATTTTATTGAGTCGGATTGTTTGGATTTATGTTCTAGTTCTAATTTTGATAAATTGGACTTGTCATACGTTGGTTTGGTGATTAAGCAGTGTAGAATCATTGCTAACGACATAGGGAACATGTTAGTTCGTCATGTCAAAAGGTCAGCGAATCAGGTGGCTCATGTGTTGGCACGGGCAATTGGTTCAGCTTCTGTTCTTACTGTATGGGAGACTTTCCCGTCATTTTGTGTTTTGAGCTTGCTTTGATGTTAATGAAGGGATTTTTTTTTAAAAAAAAAAACAAAACAAAAACAAATACTCCGTATTTAGTTAAGGATAAATAAGTACTTTTCACTTAACTACACTCGAGATTAAAAGATTCGGGTTTTGATTTATTAAGGCTCTGTTTGGCAAACTATAAGCTAGGAGCTGAGAACTGAAAATGAGCTGAAAGCTTATAAAAGCTATAAGCTCGAAGTTGAAAACTGAGCTGAAAGCTTATAAAAGCTATAAGCTCGAAGTTGAAAACTGAAAAGCTATTAAACTAGCTGCTATGAGTGAAAGTGTTTGGTAAAATTAACTTTTTCGATAGGTTAATAAGTGTAAAAAAAATTAAAAAGAACATTTTCATAAAATTTAAATTAGTTTGTGAGGAAATTTTAATTTTAGAACCGGAATCGAACCGATATGATGCCCCCCACGTAAAATTTTCGCTTTTTCTGATGCGCAAACAGCGCTCTCGGTACGGTTCTCATTTTATAATAAATCCAGATTGTTCAAAGTGACAAGTTAAAACTGTTTTTCTCCGATCAATCTCCGGGCGGTCAGAGAATTTTTTTTTCTGTGGATCTTCCGGCCAATTCAAGGTACGCCTTGCGATCTGCTGACTTCATCAATTACCTTCCGGTTCGAAAATTTATTGCAGTAATCATTATCATCATTAGGTCTTCATTTCCTGCAATTATTTGCATTTTTCGGGTCCAGTTTTCGGTTGATCTGACTTCTAATTAACATCGGTTAACTGAATTAGCTAAAAATAATAATTTGATTTTCAAAGTGAATTTCGTTGTTTCGTGATAAAGATGTCTAATATTGTGAAACTTTTGGTGGTGTGATGGTAATTTTGTGTGGGGCAGAATGAGCCAGGTGTTCGAAGGATACGAACGGCAATACTGTGAGCTTTCAGCTAACTTGACGAAGAAGTGCACCTCAGCTAGTCTCTTAGATGGAGGTGAGAATAATTTCCTGTTTAAAAAAAAAAAAAACATTTTTGTTTAGATTTTTTACCTTTGGTGGTTCCTCTCACTGAATATGTTATGCTTTATTGGTTTAGAATGCTTTGATGAAAAAGAAACCTATTTTTAGAACTACTAGTAATTGAATTATGAGAATGCTCCTTTTTTGTTTTTTTTTGGAATGTGGAATGGGAGCATGGTTTTGAATTTGGTAAAAGGTTGCATAGGGGCTAGAAAGCATAAGGATACTCCCCTACATGGTAATATGGGACAAGTGATTGTTGTAGGACTAGATGCTATTTGAAAACATGGGTTTTGGTTTTGCAAGAGCTAGTTGGAGATCTCTAAACGGAACTAATTCAAGAAAACTCAAGCTCAAGTTTGTAGGGCTATGAGGTGAGAAGGAGTCAAGTAATACCACACAACCATACTATTTTATGTTGAGCTCTATGTCACCTATGCAAACTCTGGCATTACTTATGTAGTGAATGGGGAAGTTTGAAAACTCTAGCTTTCTATAGGTAGTTATCACTTCCATCTTCCAACTTCCTGAAGTGGATGAGACTGAAAAAAGATTCAGATAAAACTAGCTTGGTTATTGGTTTCTCCATTGAAGTGTGGTAGTTTTGTGCATAAATTAGGAAATTTATTTATGGAACTGTGCCAGTAATGCTTTAGCTTTTGTGTGCCTTACATTGATTCCTGCCTTCATTATCAGATCTATGTTACAATTTAGAGGTGTCCTTTCATGCAGATATTTTGATTCTATACCCAGTAGTATTTAACTGTGGTTTTCCTGTCTGTTCATGCTTGCAGAACAAAAGAAGCAGAAAATTTCTGAAGTACAATCTGGATTGGAAGATGCTGAGGCTTTGGTAATGTAAAAAATGAATTTTGGCGGCCAAGTGTTGCTTTTGTGGAATTCTTTATTAAAAAAACACTATCATTGTCTCTATTGTGCAGATTCGCAAAATGGATCTTGAGGCTAGGAGTTTACCTCCAAATTTAAAAGCCACGCTTCTTGCGAAGCTAAGAGAATATAAAAGTGATTTGAACAATGTGAAAAATGAAGTCAAAAGGATTACATCAGCCAACCAAGCAGCAAGGGATGAATTGTTTGAATCTGGAATGGCAGATGCCAAGGCGGTATCCCCTTGTCCCCATTTATGATTTTCTGTCTTATGTTCATTGTCTTGAAACAGTTTTCTTGTTAGATAAATGTGCGTGAGTTGATGTAATACTCAACATTCTTTTTACTTGTTTGAGTGCCAACTTGCTTGACTGCTACGAGTCCTATGCCGTGCTTTCTGTAGCCCCAATGTGTGACCTCATATCCAACATCAGTTTTAGTATGACATTGTTGAGACATCATCATTGCAATGCTTTCTATTCAATAACTACACTTAAATAGGTATGCTGTAAGAAAGGAAAACTTTGTACTTCTGTGTTAGGATGTCAGGTGGGACAATTGTATCTCAGGTCTTAATTATTGGTGGAAACCTCTACTATTTGTTTATTATTTATTTCCTATTAATGCAGCCTTGCTAATCTTCTTTTTTATCCATTATTAGGGGGTCTTTGGTTGGATAGAGAACTTTTTCCTTGGAAAAACTTTTCCTTAAATTTGAGGAAAATTGAATTTTTCCTCCGTTTGGTTCATAGAAAACGTTTACCTCAAATATGAAGAAAAAGTTTTCCAAGGCTCTACCCTTAGACCAAATATGTATAATAATTTTTTTTTTAATATTATTATAATAAAATATTTAATTATAATATTTTAATATATGATATTGTAATCTTGATAAATTATACTCCGTAATATTTTAATTTAAAAATCACTATTACTTTTATTATCATTATTATTATTATTATTGTGTAGGGGCATATTGGTCTCTATACTCATTATTTCTTACCATTCCAAACTCAACCAAACAATGAAATCAATATTCATAGTAATTTCTTTTCCACTAACCAAACAATAGAATCATTCTTACTGGTAATTTCTTTTTGAATTAATTTCACTTTTGGTCCCACTACTTTTAATGTTCTATCACTTTTGGTGCACAATTTTAAAAATTTTTAATTTTGGTGCCTAACTTTGTTATTTTTATCAGTTTTGGTCCTTTCGGCCAAATTGACAGCGAAATGTTACTGGATTTTATATTGTTAGGGGTAAATCGTCATCCCAAGGAAACATTTTCAATATCTAAACAAAATCACTGTAAAATCATATTTATAGGTGTTTGACGATGAAAATAATGGGAAAGACGGGCAGAAACCAGACAGATCTATGGGATTTATAGTTTCGACCATTGACAAACTCTTCTTTTCCTCTTAATATGATTTTTCTTTTGTTTAAATATTGAAGATCTTTCCATGGGATGACGATTTTGCCCCTAAAATATAAAATTCGGAAATATTTTACCGTCAATTTGGCTGGAAGGACCAAAACTGATAAAAATAACAAAGTTAGGCACCAAAATTGAAAAAATTTAAAGTTGTGCACCAAAAGTGATACGAACTCAAAAGTCGTGGGACCAAAAGTGAAATTAATTCTTTCTTTTTCATGGAATTTCAATTCCATTCCTCAAATATTTTCTGCGAACCAAACATGCCATTAGTGTTTAGAAATTATGGGTGAACTTCTATTGGATTAAAAATTAATTGGGCCTATTACTTACAGCCCCAAAAGTTCCCAAAAAACACCTGAAATAACCTCTGTCCTGCACAGGGAGTCTGCCCTTTGTTCTGCAACAAGGGTGCACGCCCTTGTGCTACTTGTTCCTGCCTCAGCAACGCCTTTTTAAACCATGCAGGTGGGACAATCATATCACAGGTTTTAATTATTGGTGGAAACAAGGTTATCAAGGCGGACTTTCTAGGCGAGATGCCACCAACTTGCCTAGTCGACTAGGCGACCGCCTAGGCGATGACTAGGCGATGAGTATTAAATAAATAAAATATATAAAATATATACATATATATTGAAAATATCTTGTCTTGGGCAACCTATTTACTTCAAGTTGTCTTTAGTAGATGAATAGTTTTTCCTAGAATAATGAGAAGTTTAGTATTTATTGTATATTGAAAATATCTTGTCTTGGGAAGCCTTTTTGAACCCTATTTACTTCAAGTCATCTTTGAGAAGATGAATAGTTTTTCCTAGAGTAGTGAGAAGTCTAGTATTTATTGATAACATGTCAGGGTGAGGTAGTGGGCTTTGCTCGGAATAGAGGACGACGCCGGAGCTCAAATCGCGCCGCCATCGGAGCCTCCAAGCGCCGCCGCCGCACCGCTGCTCCGACGCCACGCGCCGGCGCGTGAGGCAGATTCCGGCGTCTTCTCCGGCTGAAAATTACACCGGTCAACTCGCCTTAGTGTGTAGGTTCTGCCCATGTATGTTTTGTGGGGTTTTGGGTTGTATTTTGCACTTAGGCGAGGCAAACGGACTAGGCGCAAGGCCGTGACCGCCCAGACGCCTAGGCGGAGCCTTGATAACCCTGGGTGGAAACCACAATGGAGTACTATTTATTTATTCTTTATTTGCAAAATATTAAGTTTCTAATTTCTATGGCAAGCTCATGTGATTGTAGTCCTATTGTGCAGCTGAGCTGCTTCTATCCCTGGAAATGGCATCTTGAGTTAATGAGATTGAGAGGGCATCATAAAATCTCTTATATTCCAACACTTTAAGCTTTTAATAATTTGAAGATTCTTACATAATGTTACAGGTATCAGCTGATCAAAGACAAAGACTGATGATGTCAACTGAGAGATTAAATCAGTCCAGTGATAGGATTAGAGAAGGTCGAAAAGTGATGCTGGAAACTGAAGAGCTTGGGGTTTCAATTCTTCAAGATTTGCACCAACAACGGCAGTCTCTTCTGCATGCTCATAACACGGTGTGTCTAATAATCAGCTGCTTTTAACTTTTTAGTCGTTGCTTTAATAACTGAAAGACTGGGCAATATCAACCAAGTTTTAATATTTCCAAATGTGTGAATGTAGAGGTAAAACAATCTCGTTCCTTTTTCACAGCTTCATGGAGTGGATGACAATATTAGTAGGAGCAAGAAGATACTGACTACCATGTCAAGAAGGATGAGCAGGAATAAATGGATCATTGGATCAATCATTGCAGTCTTGGTGATTGCAATCATATTGATTCTTTACTTTAAGCTTTCCCATTAGTCAAAATGCCCAGGTTTTTGCATCTCCGTCCTTTTTTCGTGTTTGAAACTGGAATGCATGCATTTTGGAACATCTATTCTCATCTACTGAACTTCTGGTTGTGGGTCACTTTGAAGCCTTTGTTTGGTAATGGTATGTCGTGCTCGAACCTTCAAACTGCATTTTTATAACTTCTGGCAGTTTTTGTTAAATAATGGTAAATAAGTCCATTTTACATCATATGCTTTAGATATATCATATATTATCCATGCTTTTATACTTTTAAGTGCTTGTATTTCCTTACTCATCGTCGCCTATTTCGGCTATTTGTGTTGTTTTGTTTTTTTTAGCAATTTGTTGAAAGAAGTGAAAACTGAAAATCTAGAAAGGGTTTGATTCCAAATATATTCATGAATGTTAAACTCCTACATTGCTTTTGTAGATTCAGGTTCGCCATGCTGATATATGGATGTGGCCTTAAATTCTCAAATATGCATGAATTTAAAATTATTAGAAAATTTTATGTAATAGTTCTAACATTATCAAATTATCCAATTGTTACATCATGTATTAGGGTTCATCTTGCATTGTGGACTTTGGTTCAAAAATTATGAGAGTGTTTGGTAAATAGTTGTTAGTTGATAGTTGTTAGCTGATTATGTTAGTAGCTTTGACTAGTTGATAGCATTAGTTGATTGCAAAAAGATGTTTGGTAAATTAGCTGATAGTTGATTGATTACATGCAAAATGACTTTAGCTGATCAAAAAAGTTACTTTGAATAGCTAATTAATCAAACATTTATATTGATTGTTTAACCATGTCAAAAAACTAATCTATCTATATCTATCTACATCTACAAATCTACATCTACATCTACAAATCTAATAAGAGTAAAAAATGTTAGGCCTTTAACTGGAACAAAAAAATATCGGTACAATTATTTCTTAAAATGAATGGTTTATATTATTTTGATTTTAATATTATTTAATGATTTTCTTTAATTACCCTTTATTATATTGTTTTCTTCCCTTAAATAATCTTAAATTTTGTTAGTATAAACTTTACTAACGGAATATTCCGTTAACTATTTATTATTGTTGACATACTTATTAATTTATATAAGAAAGATCTTAAGTTTGAACCCCGTCTCAATTAGAGTTGGCATAATTGTTAAACATATATTATGAATATGTTAAAATATATTAAAAATATATTTAATATAAAATTTAACATAAACTTTGGTCAAATAATTAATTAGCCCGATTAAATACATAACATTCAAAGTTGAGCATCAAATATTATAAATCAGGAACTTTAAAAATCATTTGATTTTATTGATTTAAAAAAAAAATTAGGTTAATTTTTTTTTTTTTTTTTTACGTTTAATTAATCTTCTTTTCATTATTTAGAACAAAACTTAACATTTCAATTATGCTTTTGCATTATTGGAATGATTTATGTCATTATGGTATTAATATTTTTTGTATTTTTTATAATGGTAAAATTGTACATTACTTTACAAATATTATACTATTATTTTTTTTATCGGACAAAATTGTTCTTACATCATTGTCAGACCTGCGCGGTCTAACTACAAAGTTGATAAATACAATTACACATGGACTCTAAAACGGTAGGACTATTTTTCAAATAATTGACAATGTTAACATCATACTAGCTCCAATTGAACAAGTTTACACATCAGAATTTTATCAATGCATGAAAACTTCTAAATAAATTTGTAAGTTAATTTTTACTATATCATTATAACAATATCTATTGTAACCATATATTTTGAATTATTTATTATCATCCTCTATTGACAGCAATAGTCATTGACAAACTCTCAAAACAATTTGTCTCAACAAGGAATTTTTCGACACATTTACTCTAGTGGTAAAGCCTACGACTGTAAGACTCCTTCTATCTCTAGCTTTATCATCTGGGTGGTCTATTAAACAGCTAGATGTTCATAATGCTTTTCTGAATGGTAATCTGGCTGAAATAGTTTATATGAAGCAACCCCCTGGTTATATTGATGCTAACTTCCCGAATCATGTTTGGTTGTTAAAAAGATCTCTGTATGGGTTAAAACAAGTTCCCAGAGCTTGGTTTAATCGGCTACATACGTTCTTACTATCAGTTGGTTTTCAAGCATCCAAGACAGATGTCTCTCTGTTCTATTACTCTAAAGACTCTGCTTTGATTTATCTATTGGTGTACGTGGATGACATTCTTGTAATGGGAAGTAATCAGAGTATTATGTCTCAGCTCTTGTCCAAACTGTCTGCTACATTCAAAATCAGAGATCTTGGTGAACCAAATTTCTTTTTGGGTATTGAAACAGTCAAGAGTGACAATGAGATTATTTTAACTCAACAACGGTATATGAATGATATTTTAACACGGGCTGGAATGTCTGAATGCAAACCCCTTTCTACACCCATATCTGTCTAGAAAACTGTCCCCTTCAATGCAGATCTATATGATGATCCCACACAGTACAGGAGTCTAGCTGGAGCACTACAATATCTCACTGTTACACGATCTGACCTATCCTTTGCAGTTAATCAATTATGCCAGCACATGCATGCTCCCACCATGTCACACTGGGAGCAGCTCCAACGGGTACTCGGGTATGTTAAGGGAACAGTTGATCATGGTTTACGCATACAACGGTGCTCATCAAGAGACATTCATGCCTTCTCTGATTCTGATTGTGCTGGTTGTTCTGAAGATCGAAAATCCACGAGTGGTTTCGCTGTTTTCTTTGGGAGTAATCTTATATCCTGGGGTTGCAAGAAACAGAGAACTGTTGCCAGGTCATCCACTGAGGCTGAATACAAAGCTCTTGCAGATGTTTGTGCTGAGGTTCTATGGATTATGTCATTACTGCGTGAGATACAGACTCCAGACATTTACATTCCAAAATTATGGTGTGATAATCAAGGAGCTACATATATGAGTGCCAACCCAATCTTTCATACACGCACCAAGCATGTGGAGATTGATCATCATTTTGTTCGTGATCGAGTAGCTTCGGGCGATATCCAAGTCAACTTCATCTCCACGAAGGATCAACTTGTTGATATCTTCACCAAAGCTCTGTCTGGACCTAGATTTTCTTCCCTAAGGGACAAGCTACAGGTTACTAGTATACGATGTGCTTGAAGGGGGGGGGGGGGGGGGGGAGTATTAGGACTCTATGTATCTGAGTCTGTTTAGAACTTCTTATCCCTGTCACACTGTGACTCTCTATTCTTATCCCTGTCACACTGTGACTCTCTATTGTATATATTCACATCATCTGATCTCATTGTAATCAAGTTCAGTAAATACAATACAGTCAATTCTCATCACTATAAACACATAAAATTAGATCACAAATAACCTGGGATAATTTTGGGAGTAATTCTTAAAAGAAAGAGAGATTTCGCACTTCTTAGGATTAAGAGTAAAGAGAGCTTAATATTAAAATTACTAAATTGTCTCTTTATTTAACACCAATTTGAAGGAATAACACACCAAGGACTAAATTGAGCAAAAATACAAAAGTCTAGGACTACATTAGGTCATCGAAATCGTTTAGGAAGAAATTGAGAAAAATCACTATAATCGATAACAATTTTGAATATTAACTCTTTTTAGATTTGAAGGACTAGATTCTCCCGGAACGCTAGCTAAGCTAATAGTCTTAGTTCCCTTCAATTCCCACGACTTTTAAATCTTTGTCACATTTAGTCACCGATTATTAAAAAAATAAATTTGAAAAGACTATTAAATTTTGAGTTAATTCCAGCAATGGTCCCCTAAGTATGGTGATTTTCCATAATTAGTCCTCAATTTTTAATTTGGACAATTTAACCACCTGACTATCAAAATCTTTCCAATTATGGTCCTTCCGTCAAATCCTAGTTAAGTGGATGTCAATTTGAAGGGTAAAAACATCTTTTATGTCTTCCCTCCCTCTTCTGTCTTCTCTTCGTCGATGTGCAGCAGAGCACATGATCTAATTCTTACCAAAGTTCAAGGAGAGCACTCCTTATATCCAATCTTGTCATTGATTTTTTTTTTTTTTTTTGAAAAACCAAACTTTCCATAAAATCAACGAGAAATTCTGTTACACAGGGAACCACTCAGAAAATGTGGAATACAGTCAAAGAACTCAATTCTATCCTCCCAAATGTAACTAAGAGCTTTTTTGGCCAATAAATGAGCCATCCCATTATCCCGACGCTGAACGAAGCGGAAGGTGACCATAGGCAAGTCATGAAGCAGCTCGCGGACCTCTTGAATGATAAAACCAAAAGGTGAGATATTTGCGTCTATCGCTACCACTCGTGTGACCACCTGTGCATCCGTCTCCAAGATCACTCTCCCACATCCCCTTTCCTTTATCCAACTCAAAGCTTCCTTAGCTCCCACCGCTTCAGTCTCTCGTACCATATACAGACCCCACTTGGCAAACATCACCACCCCCATCACCCTTCCATCCCAATCAAAAACAGACCACCCAAATCCCATGCGGTTATGCTCATGGTCCATTGCTATATCAATTCTTACCTTTACATCTCCAAGGGTCATACAATCATCTTGGATAGTGTGATGATCCAACACAGTTGGGAGCATCCCACGCATGTCAATCCCATTGTTCTGCCGCCAGCTATCCGCGTACATAATTGCGTGATGCACCAAGTTCGCCGGTTCCGAGACCATACCCCGCCAGAGTTTTTTATTTCGTGCCTCCCATATTGCCCATGTGACCATCACAACGCGCTCCAGTAGTTCCTTTGATGGAAAGCGCCACTTCTCATCCAGCCACTCATCAATAGAACCCACATATCGTAGCAACCACTGATCATTCAAAACGAGCCAGCATTTATGAGCAAATTCACAATTAGCAAACACATGAACAATACTCTCATTTGCTCTACCACACAGCCCACAAACGGGATCACAGGGAACACGTTTCACCAATAAAGCATCCGTGGTGGGAAACCGCAAAGTACACAAATTCCAGAAAAAACATTTGACTTTTGGTGGGATTTTTAAATGCCATAGCCCCCTCCATACCACCTCCACCCCATACCCCAATTCGCCCGTAGCTACTCTATAGTCACTTCTAACCGAATAGAGCCCATTCATCTCGTTATACCAATACACCGAGTCCCGAACCCCCGCGGATGGAATAGGCACACTCATAATCTTGTTCACATCCCGCTCACAAAAAATGTCTCTCACCACCCCTAAGTCCCACTGGTTGGTATTCACACACCTTGGGATCTCACGACAGGATTTTCTAAATAGTGTTGTATCGGTGTTTCAATACACGGGTTTAGCTTGTCCGGCAGCCACGGATCCCCACAAACTCTAATCGACTCTCCATTTCCCACTCTCCACCTCAACCCCTTTCCCAACACAGTTTGCGACTCCCAAATACTGGACCATACAAATGATGGATTAGACCCCCTCTTCGCCTCAAGGAAAGAGCAATTAGGAAAATATCTCGCTTTAAACACCTTGGTAACCAAAGCATCGGGCTTAGTAAGAAAATTCCAACCCTGCTTTCCCAACATGGCTAAATTCATCTCACGAACTCTCCGGAAACCCATCCCCCCAAACTTTTTTGGCACACACAAGTCACTCCACTTACACCACCTTATCCCCCCTTCTTTCCCTCCTCTCACAACCCCACCAGAAAGAATTCATAATCTTTTCTATCTCATCGCACAAACCAAGGGGAAGCAGAAACACATTCATAGCATAGTTTAGTAGGCTCTGTAGAACAGTTTTCAAAAGGACCTCCCTTCCCCCCCCCCCCCCCCCCCCCCCCCCCCCCCTAGATAAGAAATGATTGCCCCATTGCATCACATGAGCCCTCACCCAATCCCGAATAAACCCCAGAATTTCTCGCTTCTTTTTACCAATATACCCTGGCAACCCCAGATATTTGCCTTGCCCCTGCTGTTCATGAATTCCCAACTTCTCACAAACAGCCTCCTTATCCTCCCTGTGAACATTTCGGCCAAACACAATAGAAGACTTCCCCAGATTTACTTCTTGGCCACTCGCCTCCCCATACTCCCTCAAAACATCATCCAGGACCCCTGACTTAAAGTTATTTGCCCTAAAAAAGAAAAGGCAATCATCGGCGAAAAAAAGGTGGGAAATAGCTGGAGCTACTCTTGCCACCCTCATTCCATGCAGAATCCCTTCCTCCTCCCGAGCTCTCAACATAGCACTAAGGCACTCTGCAACCAGAATAAATAAACAAGGTGATAACGGATCCCCCTGTCTTAAACCCCTCCCCGGCTCCACCGGCCCCCACTCCTTCCCTTCCACCAGAATCGAGTAGCGCACAGTAGTGACGCACTCCCTCATCAACCTCACCCAATGCTCATCAACCTCACCCAATCTTGTCATTGATTGTTCACTAAAACCTTGGCCATCATAAATTGGAAAGACAAAAGTTTCAAAAGGGTAAAAATGGTCATCAATGATTTTACCCTTAAAAATGGTCATCATAAATTGGAAAGACAGTCGGAAGAGGGAGAGAAGACGAAAGTGACGATTTTACCCTTCAAATTGACGTCCACTTAGTTAGGATTTGACGAAAGGACCACAATTGGAAAGATTTTGATAGTTAGTGGGTTAAATTGTCCAAATTAAAAGTCAAGGACCAATTGTGAAAAATCACCATACTCGAGGGACCATTGCTGGAATTAGCTCATTAAATTTTTTAGATTTGGTCAAGTGATTCTCTAATTTCAAAATTAACAACTAATATCCCTTCTAATTAAATAATTAGTATTTTTTGTATAAAATATTCAGTATTTGTAAATTTAAATTTGTAATATAATTTTAATTTATTTAACTTAGATTTTAACATTATTAAAGATTATATATAATATTTATATTCAGTAATTATAATATCATTAATTCAACACCATATTAACTTATAAAATTGATAAAATATATAGTTTATAACTTTATTTATTCTAATTGAGAAAAAATGAAGCAATTGATTTGGGAGGAAAAAATAGTTCTTAGATAAAAATTACCTTTAAAGATAATTCACTTGTTTGAAATGTAACAATAATTTAAAAGTCAAAGGGTCAAATCGAAAAATTTTAATGGTCGGAAAACAAATGTAGTAAAGTTAAAAGTCGTGGGATCAAATTTAAAAATTTTAATAGTCAGAAATGGTGTAGGGGCCAAAAGTGAAGATCTTTTTGTATGATTAACCAACCAACCAAAACCTATTACAGCAGAGCAGTCTCATCATAATTCGTATGGCGTTTTCCCGTAAAAAAATGATACATGTTCATGATGGTCTGATAACCTTGACACTCTTTTTATATGGATCAAAGTACAACATATATATTCAAAGCAACCAAGTCACAGCCATCATTTGCTAACTTCCACAAATCCTCCCCATATAAGCTCCAAATGAGATTGGAAGAGCATAGCACTGAAGCGGGATTTCTCTCTCAAATTGAGATCGATCTTGCATGAAACCAACGACAACATTTTCGTGGGCAAAGTCGAGTCCGAGTTGTGCAATTACGCTAATAATACCTGATACAAAAGCTCCATTGACGGTTCATAGTAGAGAAATTGAAGTGTCATCTTCAGGTGAGGAAACCAAAGTAGTTGTTTGGTCATCGTCGTCCTCATCTTCATCATCATCTCCCGAGGCAGGGTGTCCATTAAGATCCACAACAACTCCATTGGGCTTCCTAACAAACTGTCCCCTAACTCTAGGTCTCCGATCTGCCAGGCGTTTGCGGTTCACATACCGAATCTTCTTGTCAAAACATCGCGCCTTTCTCTTCTGCCTGAATTTCATCAAGGCTGCCTCTCTATGGTCTATTTTACCCATCATACCATCAGCAGACGAGGAGCTCCCATATGATGCCCATGGATGTTGTGTTGGCATTTGGCCTGGTTGCAAGCACATGTTCATTGGAAAATAGGGAAATGATCCCATTCCAGGCATATGGGGAGGAGGACAATGCGGTAAATGACTGTATGTTGGAAGCATAGCGGGATTAGCATGGTTGTGAAGATCGGGCAAGTTCTTTTGATGATACATTTGTGAAGAGGGCATCATAACTTGATTCATTATCCTTGGAATGTAATACGGTGGTGGATAAGCAGCAGCATGGGCATGATAACCTGAAATGTCGTGGTGAGACTCGTTTGTCACCTTGGAGAACTCATCCATCCTTTGTTGCGGGAATTCCAACGATAAAGGTGGAGGAGTACAAGACCTTTCCATAGAGAGAGAGTCGGGAATACTGTTACTGCTTGGATAGCCGTCTCCTTGTGAATGATTTCCGATTGCATCACCAAAGCCATGTTCTTTGGTTTCAATATCCACATTCCCACCCTCATTGATCCTTGAATCATGAGTCACGTTTTTACGGACAGTACCTTGCTCATTGCTCTTGGGCATGTTTGACTTGACATAAGTAAAGAATGCAGAAGACTCGCCTATTTTCAATTCACTCTTCTTTGGAAATGAACAAAATTTTCCTGGAAACAATATTAAATGTAAGTGATAAATCCAAGTGTAACAGACAAGGTTGCAAAAATCACTAGGCGTTCTTCGGGCGCCAGCTTTTTTTAAAAAAAAAAATTATTTAAGACTGGGTAATTATAAACTGTTTAATACTGTAATAGTTAGTACTAAAATATTAAATATTAACCTAAAAACATCTAGAATTGTAAATTGTATAAAGATTTAAAGAATCAAAACACAACACAAAGTCGCAACTCATAAAACATTTAATATTAGAGTACCTGGTTTTGGATTTTTTTATTACATTTTTGGGGTTTGCGACCGATTTGAACAATTTAGGGTTATTTCACTAAAAATGGCATCGGTTCGAGCGAAACAACCCATTTAAAAAAACACTGAAAATAGCTAACCGGTAGCCTAAACGCACGCCTAGACCGCCTAGGTGGCTGGCTGCCTAGAATGGCGATTCCGCCGAAATTCTAGGCGGCCAGCCACCACCTAGCGCCTAGGCGCGATTTTTGCAATATTGGTAACAGATTAAAATGATTCCCATGCTTCATTGAAAGGCAGAAAACTTAAGAAGACAACAAATTCAAGTGCACGAGGACAATAACAACATGGATATCCAAAGTTCTTGCCAGCTAGTAAATGACTATTTCAGTTTACTTAAGAAACAAAGTTCAAACTGAAAACCTTCATTTGTATTGTAGTTTAGGAGACAAAACCGAAACCAAAATTCTCCTTGCCCATGACACCATTTTGTCCTTTATTAAAAAAAAAAAAAAAAAAAAAAAAAAAAAAAAAAAAAGTGACCATAAAAATGATACCTCTAACAAAGTGAAACATAATAATATGATGGATAGATATTCAACTTGCAGAGTAACTACTTCTAATTTTCAGAATAAATTACTAAATCCACAAGTTGATGGTAATGTGTATTTCTATCTGTTAGCATGTGGACAGTAATAGAGAGCCATGTGAACCACTCACCTGTTTTTCGTTCACTACTTCCTGGAACATCCGGCAGAAACTCAAATGAACCAATGACTAGAGTCTCGGGGGAGGCAGCATTTGTTATGGCATTGGTCTGAATTGTAGGCATGATTGATTTTTTTAAAAAAAAGACACTATGCAAATCAGTACAGCATGGATGATTAAAAAAGAAAATGACTATTTCATCTTCATGAATAATTACTATCTTATAGCATGAAAGAATGTAACCTACTATAATCAGAAAGGAATGCTTTACTGTTAACATCAAAACATCTTTAAAGATTCACTAAGTGGCTTCCAGCAACTAATATTTAGACCGCATAAATCTAAGGATCTATTTTGTTGTAGAGAATGCTTTGTCTTCAACATCAAGTTTTCGAACTCTCATTTTCCATTATAATGAGTTCTTTAGTTGTAAAATTGCAATTATTTTCTAATTTAGATTTTAGAAAACAGAAATTTTGAATTTTACTTATTGTCTTCATACAAAAACTACCAATATGGGTGGGTGGTGAGCAATTTTGGACCACCCATGTTTTCCATTTGGCAAACTCAGGACACTGATAAGCCACAATAATACTAATACAATTTCAATAACATCTTTTTGGAGTTATTCAAATTCTTTTTTTTTTATTGGAAAAATTAAGGCTAGAAATATTCATTTTTAACAAACTCTACTTTCCATTATTCCAGAAAATGGAAACTGAACAGGCCTGGTAAATTTTCCAACAAAACTTGAAAAGTGCAAAACAGTTGAGAAAGAAATGCAATTTCAGTGTTCAACAATAACCAAGTTGACTCCAGAACAGAGCTAATCTCCCCCACCCACAATCATTTCCTGACAAGCCACCTAATCAGGTCAACGATAGGTTCAATATTCATCTTTGTATGATGTTGAATCTCGAGAACATCAATAATACCTTAAAGCAAACTCACTAAGATTCAAATACTAATGCTCAGTTCCAATAACTGACCTCATCTTCCTGTTGAGTAGAGGGACCAGTTTCCAGATTTATGCTTTTCCGGGACTTTTCATCTGTGTCATCTGAGAAGAGTGTAGTGCTGTTTGTGTTAGCATCACTCGGGTCTGATACTACCAAATCAAAGTCATAATTTAGAATGTTCTTCTCAGCTAGTCCAAGCTGTCAACAAAATGAGATACAGAAATGATTATATGAAGTATGTCAAGAAGAATTAAAAAAAAAAAAATAGCTACATAAAATAACAGAAAAGAAATTAAAGTAGCTACTCTCATGATTGCAGTAGGCGCTAGGCGCTAGTCGGGCGGTAGAGTAGCGCCTAGCGCCTAGGCGGCTAACTTAAAAAAAATAAATAAATAAATAACAGTGCCTGTGTGTGGGTGTATGTCATATTATATATACATATATACTGATATACATACATAATATATATATATATATATATATATATATATATATATATATATATATATATATATATATATATAATGAAAAAAATTTAGCAAGGCTGAGTTAGGCACCTAGGCGGCCGGCCGCCTAGGGGGGAAATCGCCACGGCCTAGGCCGATTTTTGAAACAGTGGCTACTCTAAATATTGATATATAGAAGACATAATATCTGATGCATTTATCTCTCAACCAATCTCAGGCTAAGGGCTTCCATAGCCTTTCTATATACTGCAGAAGTATAAGGATAACTACTTTCATGAAACTAACACTAGAGGGAAATGAAACGAAGAAGGTATAATAGTGCATGCCATTCGCCTTCTTCTCCACATATGAGTCCACAAGTTCAATAGTTCATTAGTGCGGAGGGGCTTCACAAGGTAATCTGCAGCTCCCAATTTTAAGCACTTAACGACAACAGAAACCTCATCTTGAGATGACATCACTACACCAAAAAAAATAAGAAAGAAATTTTTACTTCAGTTGTTGAATTTATTTTAAATTAAATGGGAATATAATGAAGTTTGACTTACTGATAACTGGAATTCGCCTTAACTCCTTATCCCTCATAATGTATTTCAACAACTTCAGCCCTTTGGACATCGGAAGGTCCACTTCAGAAAGTATAATATCAATATCAGGTCCTTCTGCATTCAATGCATCGATCACCTGTCTGGGCGACCTCACTTTAGTCACTGCAAATTAAAAAGCAGACTCAGTAAAGACTAAAGAATCTTCAATGCAACTCACAAACATTTAGCAAGAAAATTAATGATAAAAAAATAACTCTCCCAACACGTATTTATCCACTCATTAGCCTAGTACCTAGACTTTGAATTTTGAAAGCACATTATATTTCATTTTTTTCCCCGTTTCTAGGGTAAGGCATCAGGGTGTGCTTTCTGGTGAGCATTAGCTTGTCAAAAGACCTACTTCTCCCAAAACCAACAAAGTCCTTAATGTGTTAAAACACTTGTACTTAAAGAATCCAATTTTCAGGCAAGCAGTACCTATCTAAATGCATCCAAAACCAAAACCCATAAACTGTAGGATTCTAAATTTCAGTAAACCAAAAAACCAACAAAGACATCATCTACCACAGTAATCATGAATCAAATTACAATTGATTTAGAATGACAGTAATTACAACATTTTAAGCTGCAATCTTTGTCAAACTAGAAAAATTAAATTCAATCCAACTCAGAATATGCAGAACATGTTGCAGCAACATAAAAAATTTAGGCAAAATAAAAACAAACAACAATAACAATCATAGTAGCAAAGTTATCTCGGAACTGAATAGCAGAGAAGATTTAATAACCTTGATAAGAACATTTGCACAATAGCGTGAAAACCTCCTCAGAGCTCTTGGAATCATTATCGCACAGCAAAATCCTAACTTTACTTCTATCTATGAACCCATCCCCAGTCTTCACAATCTCATTCTTCTCCATCATCGCTATTCAAAGAACAATTAAGCAATATACATATACGTTCATAGAAAAATATACAACAACAAAAAAAGGTTAGTGTTCAGCTCAAACCCCTAAAAATCTAGTATTAAAGAGCCTCTATATAGAAAATTTTTCTATTTACTGCTAAAACTAAAGCGTCTAATTTCGAAAACCCCATTTACAGATCACACACTAATCCCAATCAAATATCCAAAATGAAAAAAAATAAATCTATAATTTTCTAATAATTCTTCCCAATAATTTTCTAATAATTACGATGCGCACCGGAGGCGCAACTTATCTATAAACCCTGACACGGCGAATTCCGGCCATCTAACGGCGACGGGTTAGACTGTGAAATTAGTAAAAAAAAATCAACGACTGGAAGGAAAAACAAAAAATAAAAAAGAAAAAACAAAAAGAAAAAGAAAAGCTTCGCCAGCCCGCCGCCTCCGGTGCACGTTAGCGTCCGCCCTTTCAGCCAACCTGTCTTCTACCTTCTAGAGCGAGAAAAGAGGGAGAAGCTCCGAGTCCGGCTTCTGGTGGTTGAGGAAGAAGCAGCTCAGAATTTAGGAGAGAGAAAATTGATATTTTAACGGCGCTTTTTAGCCGCGGTGGTGAGTGCTAAAGTGCGACCGCGTTGGATGTAGAAGATCTAGGCCGTTGCCGATGCGAATCGGAGGGTGGAGATGATATGAGCGGCCAGTCGTGCGCGGGTGGGCGTAAGATAGCAATTTTGTCGACGTGGAGCGCTGGGAGAAAAAAGGAGGTCCAAAAAGTGACTCGTTAAAGGATAAATTGCACTTCATACACCTCGCTTACTGTGTTTTTACAATGAAAACCCATCCTAGTTTTACATCCGAAAATATTATGTAGACAAAATGGTCAAATAAACCCTTAAATTTTACACCAAATAATAATTAGGTATCTAAATTTTAAAAAGGTACAATTAGACCTTCAAACATATCAAATTGAATCAATAAACCTCATGAACCGATAAATGACCTGTGATTACAGATATTTTAATTTCTGCAAAAAAATTCGGCGACCGGCGATGACTATACAGTGAAAGGCAACCAAAGGTTTGGCCGTTGCTAGTCGCCATATACGGCGGAAGGCGACCTTTGAAGTCGCCTTCTCCAGGGAAATATGATTTATTTGACATACATTTATTTGACAAATTATTGTGTGGCCACAGTCCAAAACAATGTCGTTGAATTTTATGAGTAGAATAATGTACATTATGAGTTGGAATAATGTATATTATGAGTTAGAATAATGTACATTATGTGTTAAAATAATATATATTATGTGTTAAGAATAATGAAACTTTTAGGGTAAGATAATGTATATTATGTGTTAGAATAATGTATTTTATGTGTTAAAATAATGTAAATTATAAATTATAAAAATATATATTGCAATAGATCACGTAAAAAAAATTTACGTAAAACGATGTTATTTTTAAACCGTGATCTACACAATTGTACGATGGACACAATAACTATTGCATTTATTTGAGCCTCATACTATCAAAAGTGGAGATAATGCTTTGAAATGTATATTGACTTGCTTCTCCAATTAAGTTACTAAACGTGCTAAATGTGTAACCCATCTATTTGTACCTTATATGAAGTAGTTAATTTTAGCGGAAGTTCATTGGCTTTGGTGATAATTTTAAATTTAGTATGAGATTATTATTTTTGTCATTTAATTTTTTAAAATATCATATTTGGACACTTTTGACCATTTTGATAAATTGGTAAAATTCAATTTTAAGTAAGGGTATTTTCGTCTCTTCATTTAAAAAAAAAAATCAATGAGTTAATTCTAGCATAGGTCCATTGTCTTTGGTGACATTTCTAAATATAGTCTTAGACAATTGTTATTGTTATTTAACACCTCATACTATTATTTTGGACACTTTTGGTCATTCGAATGGACAAAAAGTGTTCAAAATATGATGGCAAATTATGCCGTGCAACCGTGTGCACCATGCATGGTGCACACGGTTGCAATAACGACGTCGTTTTGACTAAAAACGCACGTCCGGTTTTTTAAAAAAAAAAAAAAAAAAAATCAGTTTCGATTCCCAGCAACAACATTATATTGTGCATAATTTGAACTAAATATCCAGAATGAATGAACTAAATATCTAGAATGAATTAACTATATCTACTATACTAATAAGAGCCCAAGAGAGTTAGGCCTATAATGGGTAGAAAAAATGGCGGTCACAGATTTTAATCAAATGAATGGCTTAGATTGATTAAAAGATTGATAAGATTTAAATTTTACACTAAAATTTTCTAAAATACCCACACACCGTTACTAATTTCGTTAAAATTTTAAGAATTGCCGTTAGTTCACCGTTAACTTACTCATTGATTTCAATAAAAAAAAAAAGTCTTAGGTTCGAACCTCATCCCAATCAAAGTTGGTATAATTAGTACTCTATTTTACTCTTATTAAATTATATAAATAATAATTTAGTAGCTACAACAAAAAATTATAGATATGCATTTCTTTAATTTAGAATTATGTGTCCACAATGCCTTTATTCAAAAAAAAATTATTCATTATCAATAAATTAAATAAGAGAAATAATTGTATTAGTTATATTGTCTTTATTTTTCTACAATATAAAAATTCTTTATATTCAAATTTATTAATTGATTATATTCGCTACATTGTCCTTACAATGTCTTAATTCAGTGAAAAAAAATTATTCATTATAAATAAATTAATTAAGAGAAATATTTTCATTAGTTATATTGTCTTTATTTTTCTCAAATGTAAAAATTTTTACATTCAAATTCATCAATTGGTTATATTCACTACATTGTCTATTATCTTTTTTGTGCACTATTTTTCTAATTAAATATCAAAGTTATAATACAAAATAATGCTATATATTTATTTACCAAATATTTTATTAATACCATGAAAAAATTAAAAAAAATATATAATTAATAAAGCCAACCATATTAACTACTTGAGATATTTTGTGACAAAGAGAGTATTCAAATCACACAACAAATTGAAGTGAGAACTACCTTGCAATGTCGTTGTTTGACAATCAACAGTTAGCGCGGGGATTATATTAACGGATTTGACCAACGAATTTATTTAATTATTAACATTGGGTAGAAAAATGACCGCCAAATTATTAAATCAAATGAATTGTTCAAATTGTTCAGGTTTTAATTTTTTTTTAAATTTTTCTAATTTATCCTTAATTATATGATTATCCATTTAACTTTTCCGTTAAATACCGTTAATTCACCGTTAGTCTAATTATAATATTAACGTCTAATATAGAATTATAATTACACCATTAATCTAATTCTAATATTAAAGTCTTAATAGAACTTAACCACAAATCCTAATGTCGAAATCTCCTCAAACAATATTAGTATATATTTAATATTTTATGCCCTAATTTTTATTTGTTCTCCCTTATGTCCCGTATTTGGTTTCAACCATACCAATACAATTATTTTATTGACAATTATAATCAATCTTGACTATATCATCTTACATTTGTAAACTTAGAATTACCTATTTAACCCGCACGGGCTTAGTTCAATAATTTAGTGGGCAGTATTTGGGAGAAGAGACCAAGGTTTGAACCTCGGCGGCAGCAGTGCGGGAATAATGTCCAAAGTGGGCAGATTCCTTGTTCGCACCGGCATTTGGTCCTGTCTGCTGAACTATTGAGTCACCGTGATTTACAACTTCCTACAATACAGAGTGTGGGGGGCCCTTGGGGTAGGGGACTCAACCTTTGGGAGAAGAATTATCTATTTAAATACGCAAATTCAACTTTCAATTATCTATGCATGAACAATTTCAATATAATCTTGCCTTAATATACTTTAAAGTACTTATTTAAAAAAAAAAAAAAAAACATTGGGCATTATCCCAATCGCGCAATGCGCGTAAAAAACTAGTATCTAGAATAAATGAATTAAATATCCAGAATGAATGAACTAAATATCCAGCATGAAAAAAAAAAAAAACCAGTTTCGATTTTCTTCTAAATATCCAGAATGAATGAATTAAATATCCAGAATGAATGAACTATATAGTTCAAATTATGCACAACATAATGCTATTGACGGGAATCGAAACTAAATTTATTTTTTTTAAGTCGGACGCGCATTTTTAGTTAAAACGACGTCGTTTTTGCAACCGTGTGCACCATGCATGGTGCACACGGTTGCACAGCATAACGATTGAAATATGATAGTATGGGTTGTTAAATAACAAAAACAATTGTTTAAGACTAAATTTAGAATTGTCACCAAAGATAAGGGACATCCGCTGAAATTAATTGATTGAAAAAAAATATAAAAAAATTGAAGAGACAAAAATATCATTGCCTAAAATAGGATTTCACTAGAAAATTCATCGATAAGGCCAAAAGCGTCCAAAATATGATAGTATAAGGTGCTAAATGGTAAAAACGATAGTGCAGGACTAAATTTATAATTGTCACAAAGAACAAGGAACTTCCGCTGGAATTAACCCTTCTTTAAATTATATACGGAGTACCAATTTGTTCTCCAATCTAACAATAGTTATGTTGTGGAATCGTGTTCACCATGCACATGGTGAACACGAGATAGATCCATAATTTTAAGCTCTAAATTTATAATTTTTATACTGTAGATTCATAACATCTATACTGTAGATTCATAATTTCTATACTGTAGATTCATAATTTCTATACTGTAGATTCATAATTTATGTACTGTAGATTCATAATATCTGTACTGCGAAAACGAAATAATGCGATTGCGAAGAGAGAAACGTCGTTAACAACAAATGAAAAACAAAATTATGAATCTACAGCATAAAAATTATGAATCTACTCCTGTGTTCACCATGCGTATAGTAAACGCGTTTCCACAGCATAATTTGCGCCAATCTAATTACTTGTATATTTGTTTTTTTTTTTTTAGAACATTACTTGTATATTTGTTAGTTTTTATTTCCCAAGCACTATTTGAAAATGTTAAATTCATATGTTTAAAAAAAAAAAATTTAAAAAAATGTAACCAAGAGAATGTGTTATTCTAAAGCTTAAATTCTACCATGTTTGGAATGACAATGTACCCTCCACATTGGATTTTCAAGAGAATGTGATTCCCTCACAATTCTTAGATTATTTAAAATTACCATGCATATTTACAAATTTTACCCATTTAATTCTAATTACTATAAAATATACTCCGTATATTTTATGCTAACTTATTATATGTATCATATTCAATTGTTTTTGTAATTATATTTTTATTTTATTTTTTATTATGCCATATTAACTTATAAAGTAATTTTGTTCCTCAAGTTCAAACTCTTAGTTATTTTTAAATCATGTACTTATATATGTTACCATTATCTTATTTATTTATTTTAATTTTAAAACTTATTGAAATACAAGAAAATATGTTAAATGAATTAAAGTAAATAAAAAATAAAAATTATAACATAAAGATAACCCTTTTCTTGAAAAGACATAAAGATAACCCTAAGTTAAGCAAGTTTATATTACATACCTTAATTTTAATTAAACATATGAATTTAACATTTTCAGTAATCTAACATTTCCAACAACCTAACATTCACAATAATCTAACACTTCTAATAATCTAACGTTTCCAACAATCTAATATCCCAGTAATCTAACATTTTCATCAATCATAAAGTTGATTAGTTTAGAAGTAAATGTTGCTGGTTGGTAGCATATGATTTTTGAAATAGTTAAGAAAGAGTGAAATGAGGGGTTTGAAGTAAAAAGTGTGGTGAGTAGAACCAATAATTCTGGTGTTAAAGCAAAGCAGAAGGCTTCCTGATCTGTGTATCAGTTGCGATGCAGTATCAATTTTTTGACGACTAAGCGGATACCAGCTCTTCCTTGGTAGTCATATGCATCCAGGCTGAAGTACACATCTACAAAACATCCTCCTCTCACCAACCCATCCAATTCTGCATTGTTATCAAATCTACTGGACACAACCTGTCTTGCTCTTCCACTCCCTATTTCTTGCTCATATATCTCTGTGGCCCAGCACACTATTTCACCATTTACTATGCCTGCTAACCTGCCAATTGTACAACATTCCAAGTTATACTCAAAAAATAATAAATAAATAAAAGAGTAACCCAACCAAGATGGCTAAAGATGTAGTGAGTGTTAGCTGATAGGGTTAATATGTTTGACTAGTTGATAACATTAGCTGATTGTAGAAAGATGTTTGGTAAATTAACTGTTAGTTTGATTGCTAACATGCAAAATAATTTTCTCAAAAAACTAATCGAAAAATTTGCTTTGAGCAACTTTTTGAATTTTAGCATTTAAAGCAATAAATTGTTACAAAAAACTAATTAATCAAACACTCATATTAACTATTTAACCAAGGCAAACAGCTAATAGTGGTCAAACAAGCCAAATTGACTGATAAGCTAACTATGTTACCAAACAAGGCCACTCCAAACTTGTAAGACAAGATCACGAGTTTGAATCACAACCCCTTAGTTTGAGCCAATTAGTTATGAGCAACTTAGGCTGGTTTACCTACTTGTGGTCCTTTGCTGATTAGGATCACAATGCGGGGTTTACTCTGGTTCACCCCAAAACATGTAGTTAAAAAGCTATACAGGCATATTGACCACTAATCTAACTTCCCTGTCACTGTGAGCTCAAGAAACCAACAAGCTTGCTGTACAGTATTTTGATCTCTAAACTTTTTACTTTTTGGTAATGAAGATTGGATATTTTTCACCAAAATAATAAAGGGAACTTACTGAAATCGGACAGTAGGGAAGTTTTCATAGCCGGGGTTTCTGGATACTATAGGCCTCCATTCGGAGCTGCTACCAGATTCAACACACAGCCTCTGGGCTCGACCATTGATTTCATCCAGGATCTTGCATAGGTTTGGTGTTGCATTCACCACAATATTCAACTGTGGGCGACCGGCATAATCAAAATATTTCTTACTGACTCCAAAACGAACCTTCAAGCGTCTACAACAAACCTGGAGTTCAGCACAATCATGGAATACTTTTATCTTTTGCATTCCACGATAAAACGGGACAAGGGTCACAGAGAGATAAGGTATGGAAATTTCATTCAGTTCTAAGAACCCAGTGCAGCCGCCCCTGGGAACTTCACATTCAATTTCTGTGGATGACTCATCAGAAGGGCAATATTCATCATCATCATCATCATCATCATCATCATTATCATCCATGTCACCTTCTGATTGATGGGATTCTCTTTCAATTTCATCAAGAAGTTTGGCCATGTTAAAAGGGTCTGGCATAGCAGAACTCGATTCAATAACATCTTCAACTGTGTCATTTTTCACTGAATGTATCTGGTTTTCAATCTTCAGGTTTGTTGAGGGATTAGTTGCACTCGAACCTGTACTCCCAGGAGAAGCTTTACTACGACTTCTTGTGATAGCATTAGGAGAAACCCAACTCTTCTCCGTGAATATGTCAGGGAGGCTGGATTCCTGTAGGTAAAACAACATTTCAGCAATTTAACAGAATTATGTTGGCATTTCATTGATTCTTGTCTCCTCAAACAAATGACATTTTTCTGAATAAAGGAAAGATACAAAAAATCTAGCAAACTCCATGAATTAACTTTGGTTTACAGCATATCATATTAGAGTTTCTTGGAGCATGAAGCACAAATGCACAATTAAAGGAAACTGGATATAAGGGGGAAATTAAAGACTGAAAGAAGGATGCTATAAGTCTTAAACCTATAATTATCATGACCATACTTCATAGCTCATAATTGAAGATATGAACATTCTGTTATTACCAAAAGTAATACAGTCGAACAGTACTTGAGCACTTCAAGATTCATCCGAACATCATCTAAACTCCTGGAATAGAATGAGAGAAAATTTTAGCAAGGTCAAATCTAACATCAGATGAGCTTGCAATGCAACAGTACAAGCTACATTTAATTTAACACTAAATATCCTCAAATTTCCCTACTCACATTACAATTGTTTTTTTTAAATATACTTAGGTGATCCCAGCTTCACCGGACTAATCCTAAGCCTACAGGACCCCCCGCCCCTAGAGCCACAGCACAATCGGTCCACCGGTCATACCCTAGTTAGATTCGAACCCCCATACTGCCGCCTTCAGTCGTCGTGACATCAAGTCAAGCGACGAACCACTATGCAAAGCCCCAGGGGCCACATTACAATTGTTTTAACTGATCAGATAAATGGCACTCTATACCATAAACTTGAACTGTGATCCTAACTGTTATTAACTCCGACATCACCTGCCTATCAAACATAGGTGTACTACTGTAATTGTTGAGTTCCTGACCAAGAACTAGCTTTTGAGGTAGTATCTGGGTTTCTAACAAAAATAATCAATCTTAGACACCTAAATCCCAACCTAGGAAAGAAGAAATGAAGACAACAAAGACACAAGCTACATATTTTAGGCAAATACAGAACAGCCCCTACACAAGGATGATGTGTACAAACTGATAAATAGATTAATGAATAGTGCAGACATGAATCTTTATGTTAAGAAAGAGAAGGCCCTTTCACCTATGTTTTTGTTGTCCAAGACCAAAATAAGTAGCAAGAGATGCCATCTGCAAGCAAGAAAGAAGGTAAATTAGCACCTAAACATGATGTAAAAATTGAAGTACCTTCAATTTAGAATCTAGAAAGTAAAAACAAGGAAAAAATTAGAATTGGTCCAACTGACAAGAAAAAGTTGAGTAATTTAACTGGATCTATTGTTAGGAGCAATCAAGAACGTTTGGTCGAATAACAAATGATCCAAATTTGCAGTCTAAATAAAAATCAAAGACATCCATTTGGTAGCGTAGCATTATAAACTCTTGGGTTCAATATGCTTAACATTCAGCACATTAATAGATAGCGAATTTCACTATTTACAATTGTCAAAACTTGGTAAAGAATCTAAAGCCAGTTACTGCTAAGTTCTATACAAAAAAAATCCACAAAATGGTCAAACTTTTGGCAAGACTATTGTACCTTCATATCTCCAGCTCTCCGTCCAAACCTTTGAGTCAGCAGGGCAAGTGAGTCAATTGTTCCCTTAGGCTCTGGAGCTGGCCTATTTATCCCAGCAAAAGCCTCACGAATCCGAGGACAATCAAACTTCAATATGTTGTGACCTGCCCATATTCTCCCTGTGTAAACAACAAAATAGGTTAATCTCTCAATGAACACAAAAAACTTTCCAAAACATACATAAAGGTATACTGCATGTCAAATCTCAAATCACGAAAATAGCAAAAGGACACACTTCAGCACTTCCTTATCTTAGCATGCCAAAAACTACCCAACCCTGAGAGATCCAATTCACTACATTTTCATACAAATTCAGAAAAATTTCATGTTAATTTCTGTGCAATACAAAATCAAGCCCAAGGGCTAGCTTTACAATTGTTATACCATGGACCAGAGTCCATCTTATATCGTGAATTATGTGTCTGCATTTGATATATTCTGTACCTGTAGTACAATTAGCCTTCAATTATAGAGGCATAAACTGTTAAAGGTAAATAAAGATAATCTGAATGTTATTTTAGACAGGTCCACAATGCAAGGTAGACACTCGTCCAGGTATAAGTTGCCCTAGCTTTGTTGGTTCCATCAGACCACCAACATAACACACCAACCATGGATTTTTCACTTAAATATTGGATTAATCATTCCAATACCCAAAACGCAAGCATCCAAAATCCACACGTAAAAGTTAAACCCCGGGGGGTCGTTTACCATCGAGAATGTCGTAGACCTTGTCAGCAATATCAGCGAAAGTAGGCGCAGAAGCGACGGCGTCTCTGCAAATTCCGTTGCTGCGAACGGAGAGGTTAGACATGAGCGAAGGATCAGCGGGTCGGACCAGGGTGCAGTAATTCTCCAGCTCAACGAGCTTCCTGGGACAAACTAAAATGGCGCCGAACTCCAAGATCGCGTGACCCTGTCCGGGTCGGGTGGGTGTCGTCGTCTCCAGATCGAAGAACACAATCTCCGACCTGTCCCCAGTCAACACCATTGCTCGGAGGTCCGACGAGAGAATGAAAAACGCCTCGAACTGGAAGAATGAAGAAGAATAGAAGATGCGTGTGCTATTGATACAGAAATGGGGTATGCACGGGGGAGACTTGCAGAGCAGGGGAAGGAGAGATTTTTGAAATAAGACTAAACATGCGTAGGAGGGAAATGTGAAGAACACTGAAACGTATAAAACGGTATACTCCAAGACACGGAAGGAGGATACGTTACGTTATTACCCATTTGCCCCTTAATTTTAGGGCCCGTTTAAAAATTCATAAGAGCATCTCTAACAATAGTGGTTTTTTTTTTTTTTTTTTTTTTTTTGGTTTTTGAGGTATCAATTATAGCAACCTCAATAGTGAGCTAACAGGGCGTTTGGTTGAAAAGAATTTAAATTCCTCCTCCCCCTCCCCCACTTAATTCCCACCTAATTTTAAAGGCCACAAAATTCTCTTGTTTGGTTGAATTAAAATCACATGTCCTCCGTTGGAATTTTAGGATGAAAAAGAGATAGTGATGAGTCAAAATTATCCCTCACTTTTTTAATCTAAAATTAAGTCAAAATTATCCCTCACTTTTTTAATCTAAAATTAATGTCTGACAACGACAATGAACATTTTGGACTTTATACTACTTATTCTCTTTTAATTCCCATGTATACCAAACATTGGAATTGAAATTCCCAGTAATTCTATTCCTGTAAACCAAACACTATAATTTAAATTTTCACTTTATTCCCAAATAATTCATCTCCCATGAAATTGTAATTCATTTCACACTTAATTTCCCCTCTCCAACCAAACGCCCTGTAAGTTTTTTGTGGGTCTAAGCATCCACATTATCATCCACAATCTCAAAAATCCTTCTATACATTATAGCATCTACAATGGTAGAGTTATTTTACGATTTTTGAGAAGTTTTTGTAAGTGTGATTAGGAAAGATAAGATGAGAGGTAGAGAAAAAAAAACAAAGCAAAACTATTTTAAAAAATAATAATAAAGAAGTGTCAGGCGCACTGCGGGTGGATTTTTGGTCAGAGGGTCCCACTTTCTGAAATAACCATTCCTTTGCAAATGAACTCAAAGTCTCTCTCCCCTACCTTCTCTCTCCATTTAATGTTGCTCTTAGTTTTAAGGATTTTCTCAATTTTTTGTGAACTTACCATTTTACCACTATATTTTAATTATTTTTAAATTTATTTATCATTACAAAAATTATAATTACAATTAGGGAAAATTACACATTTTTTGCCTGAGTTATATACTTATAATACTTTTTCCTCCTGAATTATTTTTGTAAGCACATTAGCCCCCTCAATTATTTTCAAAGTGGCGATCCCCCCCCCCCCCCCCCCAATATATTAAATTGACATTTCTACTCTTAAAATAAACATTTTATATACTTTTCTTCTCCAACAAATTATTGCGTATACGTAGGCACGATCACGGTTCGATTCGAATTGAACCGGACACTATAGCAATCGAATTAAAAGTTTCTGGTTATGATTCAGATACAGAACCCAATATTTAGATTTCAGTTTATTAAAATTATGAATCGAAAAAAAACTGGATCCTGAACTATGAACCGGCGGTTCCGGATCCGGTTCACGATTTTGAACTGTCTTTATTTTAATTTTTTTAAAATAGTCTAAATTCAACAATAAATGTATTTTATTTTTTTCAGTTCCGAACATGAACCAACCGTCCCAGTTCACGATTTTAATAAACTCTAAATATTGAGTTTCGATTCTAAATTGTAATTAAGGCATCACCAATAGGAGATTTTGAAGGTTTTTTACACAGTTTTTTATGCAAAGTCATCCAAGGTGGATGAGAGAGATGGATGAAAACAAATAAATAAATAAAACAAAAACAAAAACAAAAAAAATCAACCTCCTGCAAGCCATGGAGATTTTACAGAGAAGTGGGTCCCATTGCTTTTTCAAAAAGTCTCCTATGCATGCGTGAAGAGCAAACCATGCGCCCAGCTGGCGTGTGTACTGCAAAAGCCAGCTGGGCGCGTTAACACTCTTCACATATCCCTTTTTTTTTTTCTTTTTTAATTTCAGAATTGTTTTTGATTTTTTTTTCTTCTCATTTTCTCTTTCCTAATCACACATACAAAAATCACACCAAAATCCTCACTATTAAGGATGCACTTAGAATATTTTGATTTGGTTGATATAGTGTCTGGTTGGTTTGAACCAAGGTAGTCATAATTTGTTGGAGAAGAAAAATAAATGAAATATTTATTTTAAGAGTAAATATGTCCATTTAACATTTCAGGAGAAAAAACAGTCACTTGAATAATTCAGGGGTGGGTGGGGGGGGGGTGCTATAAGTATATAACTCAGGGAAAAAAGTGTCATTTTCCCTTACAATTCTTATTTTTATTATATTTAAATTACACATGTCAAATTTAAAATAAATTTATAATTATAAATGTTTAACAATTTTTTAAAAAATATAATTTTACTATGTTAAAATTTAATAACAAAATTAAAAAAAAAAAACTTAAAATAAATAAAAATAAGCTGATCGTTTCCAGCTATATAAAAAAAATATTTTAAAAAACGAAAGCAGCAGGCCATTGGCCAGCTTAAAAAATAAAAACAACAAAAGCAAAATTAAATGTCCAAGCTTCAATTGAGAGTGGTCACTAGCTGACGGGTACGTGCCCGTTGGGTGGTCCGTGAGCGCGAATTGCGCTCACCTCCTCTGTTTTCTTTATTATTATTTTTTTCTTTTCTCCTGCAAAAATCCATGTTTTGCAGGAGAAAGAACTCACCAAAATTTAGACTTCACATTTGCTAAAAACCTTGTGCCATACTTTTTTACTATTCCAAAAGCCATTTAAAAGTCCGTCACAAATTTGACCCGCGGTGGGACGGGCTTAATGGGGCGGGCCGGCCCGCTTTCACAGTACTACTCCTAGGTATTGAACCTATGCCTATGAAACTATAGTTTTTCTTATTAATCATATGCCTTCTACCACCCTAAACAATATGAGTCCATATACTCTCATCAACAATGAAAACCCGATTATTCCTTCATTTGTATCTTTGGTTGCTTGTGTTCTCCTTCTCTTCATCCGTACAACAAGCACAAAATAGAGTTTTGATCTGTCATATATGTTTTTCTTGGTTACCCATAGTCATTTCAAGGATATCATTGTTTGAATCTCAATACTCAAAATATTTTTATCATACGTCATGTTTGATTTGATGAGAATTTTTTCCCTTTTGCAACAAATACTTCTCCACGGGTTCCAGTTTGTGCTCGAGATACATTGACGTGGGTTGTTGTGAACACCCTGAGCCAACTGTATTGCCAGCAAAAGGACATGGTCATGTCGCCCCCTCATGTCATGATTGTGTCACCCATATAGAAAGGGGCATGACGACTGTGACACTCCATGGACACAACCGTGTCGACGCGACCCCCACCCTTAAGAGGAATCCACATCTGAGTATCAACATGAGCGAGACTTAGCCATAGCAAAATAGTAGCAAGCTCAGTACGTGCATTATCGAGCTACTGATTGAGAATCCGACTAGCTATCTCCAAATTAGACACTTGTCTCTTCAATTTCAAGTAGCATCTCATATCACGAACATAGGGGTGATTCCTTCTTCATTTTCATTTGACTATGCTGGCACAAGTGGCGGAATGGCTGGGTTGACATCTTTGATGTGCTTTCCACTTAATAATCTTTCATCCACTCTGTATAGTGATGATGACTTCATAATCTCATGACCCAATAGAGATAATCCTTGAGTAGTTAGAAAACCAAAGGTCATATTAGGGTAAGGTAGTTTTACCTTTTGCTCACGGGGATGAATAAATGTCTTAGATGTGTTCAAAGATAATCTGACCCATGTTAAATCCTTGTTTTGTGCCAACTCAAAATAAGAATGCAGCAAGGTCCTTGGTTACAGAGTAGTGATGTGCTGAAGGGATCCAATTGTAGGTGGATAGGCGATGCAGGATCACAAACTTCGAGCTCAAATATGCACTGTAAATCATGTCTAGTGGGTTGTTGATAGGCTAGTGGGAGTAAACACCTTCGGTGAGTGTCTTTGCTACAAGATCCCAATTGGAAATCTCTTCTTCAACCTTTGGTTCCAATCCATAATATTCATTTATCACTCCCAGACTGAACTTGTACCAAGTCCTTCTGATGAAAACCTAATAATGTTTGGGACTGGTGGGATCGTTGACTGACTCAGTTAAGTTGCAATAGAATTCACTAGTTAATAACTTGGAGTATGGTCATACACTCTCAGCCGTTGCAATCAACCCAACTTCTTGCATCAGAGGGATCACATCGCATACAGAATTCAACTGATTAACATCCATATTGCGTTGAACTATTAATTCCCGTTTCAACATAGATTCCCACTTACTCTCTGCCTCATCATTCAGCAACACAGGAATGAAGTCAATTTGATCAAGGACCTCGATTATTTCAAGAGTAACATTTCTCTTTCTTGCAGGCTTTGAAGTGATTTTCTTCATCTTTGGAGGTGGTGGGGGTGCAGTAACTGGTGCCTTCCCTTTAGTTGCAGACCTTAAATTCTCAAACACTTGTACTGGTGGATCATTCTCTGAATCACTAGCAGCAGGGATCTTTCATCTTTTGTCAGAACAGGGGATCAAAACTTGGTCAGCTGATGAATCAACAAATTTCTCTGGTTGACCCTTCCTTTTTCTTTATTTACTCTCCTTGGTAGGACCAGGAGAGCCAATACATGGGTGGTAGACACTCTAGACTCAAGCTTAGAGAGAATAACATGACTTTGTGAGAGAACAAACTGTAAATTTCTAATTTTAAAGGTGTAGGATTCTAGGTGGCTAGTTTCAATCTCATACTTGGAAATTTCTCGAACAACATCAATCACAGTATCATTAAGAAATTCAACATTTTCAGACTCTATCTCAGGTTTTGAAATAAGATTATCCTCAGCAGGAGGATCAGACATTTCAACATCTACTCTAGATACATCAACATATTTAGGATGAATAAACTCACTAGGAGTTTGGAGTAAAATCTTTTTGAGTTTCAGAAAACATAGGATCAGGGGATAGATTTGATAACTGACTTATTGTAACATGCATTTCACTCAGGTTTTCAAGAGCATATATAGGAACATGATTAGTAAGTTCAGTAGAATAGGGATTAAGCAATTAAGTGAATCTGCTGTCCGAATTCGAGTATACAAGGAAGAAATACGAAAAATTATATATTAGGCATATGAAATGACTACTTTACCCTTTCATTTAAAGTCCACTTTACTGTAATCTGACGAAAGAACCTGAATTGGAAAGAAATTGAAAGTCAAAGGACGTAAAATGATCAAATTAAAAGTCGATGACTAATTTTAAAAAATCAATATAATGGACCATTGCTGGTATTAACTCTACAATCATACATATCACTTATGATTATTATTACTCTGTATATCAAATACAATTAACATCATAAATATTTCACTCAACAATTTCAAATAGTTAAAAAAAAAAACTTTGATGTCACAATCTTTAACGGAAATGCTGACTTTTCTAATTTAGAGCAAGCCAAAAAAAAATCACGTGGAATACCAAATTTGATGTCACATATATCATATCGTACATCTTCCCTCTCTCTCTTTTTTGGTGAATCACCAAATGATCATTATTGTATGAACCATATTATCAAATAATGTATATTTAATACACAAATAATATATTTTTAATATATTAAAAATGTACATTATATTCATAGAAAATACATTATTTTATATAATATACATTCAGTACATAAATAATGTACTTTTAATATATTAAAAACGTACTTTTTTTATCGTGATTCACATAGCATTGTATAGATCATGATCCACACAATAATTTACCTCATCCTATCGTACATCATGTTGAAGCCCTTATTCATTCGGATTAAGTCCAAGTCTTATCCAATTTAATTCAAGGACGTTAAAGCATAAGGAATAAATTCCAATTCGATAAATTTGTTGGGTAATGGTGAGGAGGAGTCAAAATTATATTTTTTACCTAGGGATGTAAACGAGCAGCTAAGCTCGAGTTTGATCAAGCTTGAAAATTGAAGCTTGAGCTCGGTTTAATTATAAAACGATTCAGCTCTAGCTTGAAGTTGACCGAGCTCGAGTCGAGCTTGTTGCTCGGCTATAATTTTGTGTGTTGTAAATATATGTATGTATGTTTGTATATGGCTCGCGACCAGCTCAACGAGCCAAAACTTAAAATTGTAAAACATTTGAGCTCGAGGTCGGTTACGAAACAAGTCGGTTCGAATTCAACTTGAAATTTAAAATCGACCGAGCTCGAACCGAGCTTTGATCGGACAACTCGCGAGCTCCTCGACTCATTTACACCCCTACTTTTACAATTCTACCTAAGAAAATTACAGGACGTTTGGTTGAAGGGAATTTAAATTCCTTTTCCCACTTAATTTCCACCTAATTCCAAAGGCCACAAAATTCTCTTGTTTGGTTGAAAGGAATTGCAATTCCATGGAATTGCAATTCTCCTATTTTCATGGAATTAAAATCCCATGTCACCCCTGGGATTTTAATTCATGGGATTTTAAGAAGAAAAAAAGACAGTGATGAGTCAAAATTACCCCTATCTTTTTTAGCCTAAAATTAATGCTTGACAATAACAATGGACATTTTGGACTTTATACTACTTATTCCCTTTTCAATTCCCAACACTGAAATTTAAATTCTCACTTTATTCTCAGTAATTCATCTCCCATGAAATTGCAATTCCTTTCCCACGTAATTCCCGCCCTCTAACCAAACGCCCTGTTAGATTTCAACTTAATCGTGTGGTGTAAAGTGTTAACGCTTTAGAAGTTTAGATAGTAAATTGCAAATTGTATATTCTTATGAGAGTAATTTGCAAATTCTAGATTCTTTTGGCACTAATTTGTGGTGTGTTGAGGGAGTAAATTGCAAATTCCAGATTCTTTTGGCACTAATTAAATTCTGGTTGCCTTACCTTCCACAACCGGTCTTTCTTTGCTTGACTTCATCCCTTTCTCTCCCGCGCACGCCATTTTTCCGGCGTCTCCCCCCTTCCCGGCGGCCAACGATAACCAAAAGGTTCCGTCGATTAACCAGTCAGCTCAAACTGTACATTTGACCTCCACTTGTGTTGTGATCGTATGGAGCTGGTTCATCACTGCCTATGCGGCCATGATCGAGGCTTCTCTGCACAGGCTTGCGCTTCGTGTGGATCGATTTCTTTCCCGCCGGCGACTCTGGTCGGGTCTGACGTGCCGGATTTTCACGAAGAAGGCACAAGGGACAGGGAATTGACGCTTAATCAGTACTTTCTGAGCTTGATCACTTCTATGGCATCTCTTGCTCTTACAGTGATCTTCGTAATTGGTACGCACACATCTGTATGCTTTCTTTTTAAGTATTTTCACGCGTAAATATGTGCTATAACTTACAGTCCCAGTTTTGATGCATAGATTGGATTTTGAAATTCTTAGATAATTTAGTTGTGGTTGTAGTTTTGTTGGGATCTTAATCATGTTAGGATCAAAGCCTTACTAAAAATTTCAATCACCTAGTTACCTGGTTTTGGACTTGGCCCGACCTCGACCTCCCAACAATTTTCCAGTCAGAACTTGGCCTTTCACCGCCCCGCTCAACAATTTCCCAGTCAGAAATTTGCCCTTCATCGCCTCTGCTGCCCAATAGTTCCCCCTTCCTATACCAGTTTGGACTTGGCCCCACCCAACACTTTCTGACTGTGATATCACTTGTTAAAATCAAACTCTTACAAGTACGTCAAAAATTATAACTCAAAGCAAAAATGCAACTTTATTTTCTTATATACCGTCACATTTTCGAGAGGCAGGGTACTGGAGTTGGTCTTTTACTGGCCTCCGCCTAATAATCTCCTAGCTAGCTGGTGCTGGATTTGGCTCTTCACTGGCCTTCGTTCAACATACTGTATCTGGAAAACATGGAAAGTGATAAGGCTATATATAATAGGCAACACATGATGAGTGGGGTTGTATTGCTATTAATCATCTGAAATATTTTAATTTTGGTGAATGTAGTTGGGGCTTTACTGGGTGCAGTGTTTGGTGCATTAGCTGGTTGGGCTGCTAAAAGTGGGGTGTTTCGAGGAGCAGGACTCTGCACCATTGCTGGGGCAGTACTCTCCTTAGAAGTGCTGGAGGCTTCTCATGCTTATTGGTGTTCAGAGTGTTGTGGTTCACATAGGTCATCATCATCTTTGGTTAGCATGCTCCATACATGACAATCTTTAATTTGTTTATTGACTATTCACTTTGAGACATAAAGTGCACAAGTCCTTTTGAGTTCCTATAGATTGATCCTCCGGCCATTCTGAATTTACTGTGTCTGCATGCTTTTTTTAGGTAGATTTCATAAAGGAGCTTCTCCATCATAGGTTTGTTGATGGACAATTCCAGCAGCAAGTGCTGAGAGCTTATGACCAGCAGGTATGTTCCTATGAATACAGTGGAGCTTGCTTTCAATTCTTTGACACAACTTTGGTTCTACATAATCTTCAATTGTGTGATATAGTAGTTTGCCTGATGCTAATAGAGAATCGAAGTTTCAAACAAACTTCGTTTGGAAAGATAACATTTCACCTCTCAGCGTATTAACACTAGTGTACTTATGGTTGTTCATCATGATGAGTTTCTTGACTAAACTTTGGCTTGAAAATCTTAATGGAATTGGGTGATTTGATTTTCTTCTTCTGTTCACTTGTAAGCCCTAACTATAAGAGGGACCTTTAACCCTGTACCATATTCAAATTAAACCAATCCCGGTTGGCACCATGTCAACCAATTAAGAGGCAAAGTGCTGGTTATATTGATTTTTCCATTTGAGAATTGAGAGTAGGGGTTTGAACACCCGACCTCTCTTAAGGGATGATAGTTTACAGCCACTCACACTAACTAAGCCTGTTTCTGCACTTTCTTTGTTGATGAATGATGATATGATGTGTTGAAATTTGCAGGGCATTATTAACTCAAGCAGTGATGACTACGGCGGCGAAGTTCCATTGAGAGGCTTGTCAGGGGATTCACTTAAAAACCTTCCTTCTCATGTGTTGACAAGTGAAGTTAAAGCAGCAGATACCATATGCTGCACAATATGTTTGCAGGTAGGTTTGTAGATGAGCTTTGAACATGTCATATCCTATTCATGCCACATTATACTAGCTGCTAAACCCATACATCTTATCCTAATTAACAGGATGTGAGAGTAGGGGAGACTGCAAGAAACTTGCCGCGCTGCAATCACACATTCCACTTGAGTTGTGTGGACAAGTGGCTGGCAAGACATGCTTCATGCCCTGTTTGCCGGAGAGATGTTTAGGATACTGTTTTGTAGTGACAGCTTACAGGGATGATCTCAATGAATAAAACTCCGTATAACGGTATAAGCTTTACCCGCCAGGAGAGAATGGACCGATGACCTATCGGTCTGAACCAATTTTTCTTGTTTTTTAATCACGGAGCAAGTTATTCTTATCAAAGTATGTAGAAAATGATTTTTAGTATTAATTATGCAATGATATGTATATGTATATATAGGGAACATGTACACACCCTAAAAATATAAACCCGGCAGGAATAAGAAAATACAATAAACTCAATCATTTGATATATATTACATTCCTGATATACATAGTATTCTTAATACTCACCCTCCAGTTGAAGGAGGGCAAGCGAGAAGGAATACAAAACTTGTCACGCAACACACGGAAATATGCAGGGACTAAAGCTTTAGAAGTTGTTTGATACTTTCTTATCAATTAAATTATTGAGAAAATGTTTGATTATTATCTGAAACTTTTTTTAATCTCTAATATATCCTTATTATATATTAATATTTTAAAAATATTAAAAAAAAAAGGGAAAATGGCACTTTTTCCCCCTGAGTTATATACCTATAGCATTTTTGTCCCCTAAATTATTGAAGTGGCTGTTTTCCCCCCTGAAATGTTAAATGGACATATTTACCCTTCAACTAAATATTTAATTTATTTTTTTTCTCCAACAAATTATGACCATAATTTGGTTCAAACCAAACAAACACTATAGCAACCAAATCGAAATATTCCAATTACAATTTAGAATCGAAATCCGATATTTAGAGTTTATTAAAATCGTGAACCAGAACGGACGGTTCATGTTCCAAACTGAAAAAATAAAATACATATATTGTTGAATTTATACTATTTTAAATAAAAAATAAAATTTTAAAATAAAGACGGTTCAAAATCGTGAATCAGATCCAGAACCGCCGGTTCACGGTTCAAGATTCAATTTTTTTGATACATAATTTTAATAAATTGACATTTAAATATTGGATTCTAGATCTGAATTATAACCGAAAACTATTAATTCGATTGCTATAGTATCCGGTTCAATTCAAACCGAACCGTGGTCATCCCTACGTATACGCAATAATTTGTTGGAGAAGTAAAATAAATAAAATATTTACTTTAAGAGTATAAATGTCAATTAAATATATCAGGGGGAAAAAGCACCACTTTTAGAATAACTGAGGGGGCTAATGTGCTTACCTAAATAATTGAGGGGGAAAAAGTGCTATAAGTATATAACTCAGGGGTAAAAAGTGCCATTTTCCCAAAAAAAAATAATTGAGAGTTTAATAAAGTAATTGTAAATTAATAAACTATATGTCAACATATTTCAATCTGCATCAAGAAAACATAACTTTTTTTTTTTTTTTGAATGCTCAAGAAAACATAACTTAAATGAGTCAATATATAATTTTATTTATGGATCCAGGACTCGAGGTGGACTTTACTTTCTATTTTTGGACCAATCACGGAATTTAATGGCAGTTCAAAAACTCAAATCGGGCTGGCCCAAGCCCGACCATATGTTATGCTGTGGAATCGTGCCCACCTTGTAAGGTGGGTACGGTTTCAGATTTATAATTTCTATACTGTAGATTCATAATTTTTAAATTGTAGATTTATAATTTCTATATAGTAGATTCATAATTTAAATACAATTGGACTTCCATTTGGAAGGTTATGAGTTCAAGCCTCAGTGGAGGCGTTATTGGTTCTTTGTGTTTCAGTAGGTTGAGAAAGTATATACACAGATACTACAATGTAATAGAGCCAGTAACTTTCAAAAAAAAATATATAGTAGATTCATAATTTCTGTATTGTAGCTTCATAATATCTGTATTGTAGATTCATAATTTCTAAACTGTATAGTTATCAAATTATGAACATATAGTTCTGTGATTTGTGAATACAGAGTTCAACAATTGAGAAAATCGAAAATTATGAACATACAGCTCTATAATTATGAACATATATTTATAAAATTATGAACATATAACTTTAACACATGTTCACAAACTTAATACTGTAGATTCATAATTTCTATACTGTAGATTCATAATTTCTATACTGTAGATTCATAATTACACTGTAGATTCATACTGAAGACAAAACAATGCGAATGCGAAAAGAAAAATGCCATTAACGACAAGTAAAAACAAATTATTATTTTTTAATTAGAAAAATTATAAATCTACAGTATAGAAATTATGAATTTGAATCCGTGCCCTACCTTGCAAGGTGAGCACGTTTCCACGGCATAATTTGCTTTTGACACCTATAGCGAAAAGTTATATTATTTTTAAATTTATAATTTAATATTTAATATTTATGTGACAACAAATTTTGATTTATTTTCCAATTGAAATATATAAATTTATACAAGACCTATCAAAATACATGATATATTATAAAATTTTTTGAAATAAAATTATATATATATATATATATATATATATATATATATATATATATATATATATATATATATATATATATATATATATATATATATATATAAGTATTACAAAAATGAATGGAAATTTGTAAGGCTATATTTAGTTAGTTTTAAAGATTTTTGTAGACATTTTTAAAGAAAAAAAATATGGAAACGAATCATTAAAAGTTTATCTATATAATTTTATAGACTCATATAATGTACCAAAATATCTGAAAAGATTTTATAAAACTCATTTAAAATCTATAAAATGTATCTTTTTACAATTTATTTGGTCCTGTTTGGTAAAATAGTTAGCTTATCAGTCAATAAGCTAATTTTGACTTATTTGATCACTATTAGCTATTTGACTTGGTTAAACAATAATTTTCTACAACCAGTTAATCCTAACAACTAATTTACCAAATACTTTTATACAATCAACTAATGCTATCAACTAGTCAAATTTACTAACCCAATCAGCTAACAGCTATTTACCAAACACCCAACAGTCTTAATTAAATACACACCTATATTCTATCATACTTTTCTTTTGAAGTTAAAAGAACCAAAAATAAAATTAATCCTGGAATTCTATTTTTTCTTACCTTAAGGGCACATTTTGTAGTCATTTAAAACTACCAGGTAATATGAATATGATAATATTATATCACATTATTTAGTTAAAGTTAATAATATTTCTATATAAATTGATTATCTCCCTTTTTGGTAATCTAAAATTAACCTATATATATATATATATATATATATATATATATATATATATATATTTATCAATAGCATTATAATAAATTAATCAATATAAATTTATTATTTATTTATCAATGATACTATAATAAATTGATCAATATAATAAATTAAATTTATATTTTTACACTATAAACAAAATAAATAAAATAATTTAATATCCCAAAACCTCATATTACCTTTAAATAAATACCTAAGGAATTTTATATTCACTAAACCAAACTCTCTTTGAAACACTATCACAAACACCCGCCAGAGTTTCATAAAAAAGAGTCAACCACAAGAGTATAAAAGCGGTCACATCCCCGGAACATCACGCTACTATCTCGCTTTTCCCACTCATAAGCGCCAGACAAAGTTCCGGCCATGCCCGCACAGCCTGATTCTAGGGTTCCCCCGGCGAAGGCGCCGGCCACGCCTTCAACTGTGGCGGCTCTCAAAGCCTACTGGCTCCCTCTGACGCTCTTCGTCGCTTCGCTCTGCTTTCAGCTCCTCGTCACTCCTCACTTTTTCCCTCCTTCTCATTACGATGGTACACCACGCTCCGTCACTCGATCACGGCTTGCTTTAGTAAATTATTATCTACCTTTTCTTTAATTTACTTGTGTAATTATGATTTTGTTGTAGTTTTGGGGATCAAACGGTATAGCTCGATTGAAGAAGTAACTAAAGCATACGAAAAACTATCCTCTAAGTGGTAAATTAATGGTTATTGCTGTCCTACTATTATTATAGCTAAAATATTAATCAATGCTGTTAATGATTTTCGAGTAAATTTCTATTATATATTACAGAGTAATTGTTTTTTTTTTTTTTAAAATAAATATTGAACATACTGCATGATGTATCAGCAAGGACATTTGTGAAAAAAAATTAAGATTTTGACTTGAAAATTTCCACTTTCATTAATTATTTTCGCCAGACACTAATGTAGCATGAATAATACCCTCTCTGTAATTAACTTTGTCATCATTGCAGGAATTCAGGTGTTGAAGTTGCTTCAACTGAAAATTTCATCAAGGTTTGCTTCTAGCATTTTGAATTGTTAAGACTAGTGTTTTTTAATTGATGATGACTATGTATGTGATGCGATAATGAGATAACCTATATGTTGGTTTGGGATTCATTTTTGTTGTTATATATATATATATATATATATATATATATATATATATATATATATATATATATATATATATATATATATATATATATATATATGTATGTATGTATGTATGTATGTATGTATATATATATATTTGAGATTAATGAATGGCAAATATATTGCCAAAAATATGTCTCTTCCTTTCAGTACATATTACTTAATAGTGTCTCAAAGGAGAAGATTTTTTCCTTATATCAATTTTTCATGATGTCCAACAGAATGCCTCTGCTTCTTCCTTGTAATTGTTGGCAGTCAGAATATTGCAGCACAGTAATGTCATGCAAAGTATATGTATTACAAATTTCCCAGTCTGAGTCTTATATTCTCTTAATCTATTCAGAATGGAATTTTACTAGGCATCTCTCCATACAGCTATAGAGTTCCCTCTTATGCAACTTTGCTATAAAGGCCCAACTAAGATATATCTTCATACACTTTCAATTATAGAAACTACAGATTCTGCCTCCTGAAGCCAAAACCCTTGATAATGACTGGTATTTGATTAATTTATGGCCTTGATTGCTGCAATTTTTTGGCCAAAGGTCCTTCCACCTATCTTTTGATATAGTGCATGTTACTATTTTGAGGATTTTCCATATATTATATCGTGAATTTGTTTCTTTACTTCCAAGGTTCATTATATACACTATATTTTTAATTCCCCAGGTTCAATATGCTTTTGAGTTGTTGTCAAATCAAACATGGAAAAGAGATTATGATGTATTTGGTATAGATGAGCAGTTTGTAAGTTTTTCCTATCAGCCTTTTGCTTTAGATCTTCTTTTATACTGGTCATCTAGGGTTTTTTTTTTTTTTTTTTTTTTTTCCTCATTCTTTCTATGCCAAATATCTTTGTATCCTGCTGTAGTAACATCTATTTTCCGTATTACTGCTACATAGGACTTGATTGAAAAGGTGAAACTGCAGCATAATGGGACAAGTATTTCTGGGATCAGGCTCCCTCTAATGGCACCTATTTCTTTTGGTAATTACATAGACCCATTTAGAAGGGCTTCTGAATAAATCCACCTCCCCTTTAAAGCAAAATGAGTTGTTTCCTTCTATGGGGTCCTTTTCATCAGATAACATGTCCTGTCCTTTCTGAGTCTTTGGTGTGAAATCATGTATAAATTTTCACTGCAGACCTGGCAGATAATGATTTTGGTATCATCAACTCTGAGGGCATTGTGTCCATGCTTGAAAGTGACAAGGCATTTCTTGTTCAGGTGAGATGAATTTGCAATATGGTTCCATGGTGGCATATTTCATAGTTCCAGTACTATATTCCAATGCTTTGTTTATTGACACTAGTGTTCAGCTATTTGTATGCATTGTCCTTGTAGTAAGTTGTAAATCTTGATTTTAAAATATCTTCAAATTATATGAAGGAATAGTCGAGATCATTTGAGCTAGTATATGCTGGAAACAAAATATTTGGTGCTTGTTTGGCCGTAAGCCCTAAAAAAGTTGGAACTTCTTGGAAAAGAGGCTTTCCCCTCTTATCTGGCCTTATTCAAGGCTTTTTAAAATTTATAATGTTTGGAACAACTAATTTTTTGGAGTAGATAAGCTTCAAAATAAGCTAAGAGGAGTTAATACATTATGGGTCATAAATTTACATTATAGGACTTTATTCTGTTACAGGTAACTTTACATATTGTAGTTTGAAGGTTGATGTAGGGCTTACATACCAAGTGACTGTTTACGTAATGTTTCCATACTATGGGAACCAAAGTTTTATATTTTTATACATAATTTATATCTTGGATTGGTTGCTTTTTTGCTGATCTCTGATTGAAATTGTTCTCTAGATGTTTTCCCTTGGGAGTGGACAATGCCATCAATTTTTACACAAGTGGAAGAGAATTGGTACAAGTGTTTTCTCATAGTATGTTTCTTTTATGAAGTGAATACAACTCCTACAGGGTATAATTTGTTATTTTTCTTGTTAAATTCTGCAGTTGAATTGCTGGACGGAGTTGCTAATACTGGAATGGTTGAACTTAGTAATGCTCAGCTTGCAACATATCTAGCAGAGAAGAAACCTAGTGGACAGCCTTTCTTTAGATATGGTAAGGGTTATCTTTCAATAAATTTTCATTTTACCTTCTAATTTCAGAACATTGCATTGCAATGTTTTCTATTCAGAATTTTTAATATAATTTGTGAACCACATTCCAGCTTGCTTCTTAAGTTTGTTGGTGAAAGCCTAACCCTTTTCACTACTTTTAGCAGCCCCCCTCATTCAAAATCCTCTTTACACACAGACTACTGTTAGTACATTCTTGTTTGGTTATCAAGGTTTGCACTCAGAGCGCTACTAGTTTGCTAATGATCATTGGTTGGTCTGTGATACCTTAACTCCTTAAGTTTACTCAGAGAAGATAATTTTTCCTATTGGAGCAGTTCATGATATGAAAGCCGCTCCGCAGTTTTGACACTTTTCTTCATTTATTCCCATTTTCTGGATTTGACTGCAGTCTAATTCTTGACTGTGCTAGGAAAATTATTATTATTAAAAAATTATCTTACTAGTCATAGTGATTGTGTTCCCTCCTTCAAGTCTCTCTCTCTCTCTCGTCGAACTATATGAAGTGAAAAGCATGCAATTAGCTTTTTTCATATGATATGGCATTGATATTGCTTTTAACATTTTACTTTATCATCATTTGAGTTTCTTGCTTTCATACAGGAGTTCCTGCACTTTTGGCTTTTCCCCCAGGTTGTCAGAGTTTGAAATGTCTCCACAGGTGAGTTCATTTTTTTTTTTTTTTTCCCCTTTTCCTTTAACCTCCTATTCACAAAACCTATGAGTTTGTCTTAGCTAGGAGCCTAGGACTAACTTTTTGACATTTTATCTTCATTGTTATTGAAAAAAGGTTTTCTTAGGCTTTTCACCTGTGATTTAAAGTCCTGCGAAGTCATTTTGTGAATTATTATTTTTCTATTTTTTACAGAAACCTGTATTTCCTGTATGTAGTTCATTGAGGACAATAATTTTTAATTGATAGGTATGAAGGAGAGCTATCTGTTGATGCAGTTACTGATTGGATTGCAACAGACATTCTTAGCTTGCCTCGTATCCTGTACTACTGGAAAGAGTCAATGGTAATATATAAAGTTTATTATAGAAGTTCTATCACTGTTTTAGTTGATTTTTCCTTATTCTAGTTGGGGTAAAACTTGATTTTAAGCTTTCAAATTCACATTTTTCTCAAAAATTTACTTCATACATCTCAACATTGTGTAAATACATTGATTGTGCTTAATACATAGAAATGATTGTTGAACTCTGGAGCTGGTCTAGTTGATTTTTACTTGTTCTAGTTGTAAATTTGATTTTCAGCTTTAAATTTCAAAATTTTCTCGCAACTGTGCTTAATAAGTCTCCACTTTGTGTCAATTCAGAACACATTTTATATCTCTTTCAGACATGTATTTACAGATGGCTTTTTGCAATAAATATCAGTTGGCTTCATATTTTATTGATGCTTAAAAATCATAATCCGTTTTTCTATTGAATGTTGCATTTCTCTGGAATTTCAGGGACAAAAGTTTCTTGCTAAGAGCAAACCACATAAGGTACTATTACTGTAATCCATCTCCCACTTCACTACAAAAGGTGAAATAAGATCAATTTCATGTTGATTTCTTTGTCACATTGAAATTTTGTAGACAGTGATGAAGTTGCATAAGTGTATGAGTTTGGTGCATCACTAGTATTACTGAATATAGTTTTAAAAAATTGGTAGTAGCTACTATGCACAAATTAGCTTCATTCTTTCTTTTATTTTAAATGTCTTACCCTTAATCTGGATTATCTTATTTTATTTTGGTGGTTCTAGAAGTGCATAGCTTCTTAATACATAGGGCTACTGTTTTTCATAATATATGATTCTTAGGCTCCATTTGGGAGAGCTGTGAGATTAGGATGGTTCGAGAGGTGGTGGTTAGTCGTTAAAAATATGAAAAAGGTGGTTGTGTAGAAAAATAGCGGCGGTGGTGGAGTTGAAATGTTAAATGACCAATTAGGGCATTTATTAAAAAATATATAAATAATAAATTTAAAATTAATAAATTAATTTTTATTTAAAGAGTTTAACAAATAAATAAAAAAATATATATATTTTCATTTATAAATAATACTTTATAATTTATAATATAATAATATAATATATTTTTATATTTATTTAGTTATTATACTAAATAATAATAACATATTGTATTAAGAATAATAAATTAACAAACTTATTAATTTAATTAATACAAATTTTAATTTTTTTAAAAAATAAAGGAAAATGGGCAATGTGGGCATCCCACGTTTGCCATTTTCATTGAAGGGAGCATAACGCTCCCTTATAAAAGGGAGTTTTGTGCTTCATATGAATTGAAAGTCTCTAGGCGTAATGCCTAGAGACCTATGTTGCACAGAAATGGGAGACAGGGAAATAGGAAACGAGAAATGGGGAAATGATATTTTCAAAAAAATATAGGAAATGAAATGTGGGGGAAATGTACAAATATAAAAAAATACAGGGCTATATTTGTAATAGATAATAGATATTTTCATAATTAAGCATGTTACACTAATAGATAAAAACAATGCACCAAATTACTAATAAAATAGTTAAATAGTAAATACCAATTGCTGCAAAGTTACTTTAAATTAAAATGTAATGCCTGAACTTCAAAATATTTTTAAACTTAAACAGTAGACGTTCCAATTATTTATGTTTTCATTAGCATCTTCATAAAAAAAAAAAAAATCTAGACCAGGTTCATCTAAAGAAAAGTTGGCGAACTGAAGAATGCCAATGCCTTCTATGTTTGCAAAGTCATTTTCATTAATATCCCACATTGGGCTGAAATTTAAAAATGGTTTGGAAATGAGTTTCCAAATTTTTTGTTAGATCGGAAATGTTTCTAAATGTTTGGATCGGAAACAGGAAATGGGTTTCTGAATTAGTAATATATATATTTTAAAATTAGTAGTTAATGGAGGCGTTTTGGAGAACCTAGTTGCTCCCATTGGCCCTTTTGGGTCCAGGCGGAGAATGACCTATGACAGTCACGGCATTGCGTTTGGGGGGCGGTAAACCATGCCAAACGCAATGCAACCAAACACCTTTTTTTTTTTTTTTTTTTTTGGCACCGCCCCAACGCCCTAAAAGCCCTCCCAAACTGAGCCTTAGTAGTCCCTAGATATTCTGATGTTTCCTTGACTAACATTAAATGTGTCTGCTTGTTATGTGGTAGCATAAGTTGCCTGAATTTATGTGGGTTTTCCATCCCAACTTATACGTTCTGTCTCACAGGTCAAGGTCATCTTCTTCTCAAAAACAGGAGAACGTGCATCCCCATTTATTCGTCAAGCTGCTAGAAGCTACTCAGCATTTGCTGATTTTGCATTTGTACTTTGGCACGAAGGAGATTCTTCTTTGTGGTGGAATATGTATGTACAATTGTACATCTGTCTGATTAGGCTTTCTCATATTTTGTCTAATAGTTACTGATAACTCTTAACCCTTGCCGCTAGATTTTTTTAGTTTCTTTTGTTTGGAATTACCGAGAAAAATGAAATGGAAATAAGCAAAAGAGGCAACAAAGAACATGTAAAGAATGGATGATAGAACATCAAATGTTCTTTAATGGAAATATAGTAGGATGACCTTGTGTTTTTCTAATAATAGGTTTGGGGTGGAATCTGCTCCTGCATTGGTTTTTCTGAAAGAAACTGGGGTTCAGCCAATTGTTTACCATGGCAAGTTCCCTTCCCTTGCAGTGTACAGTATCATTTATTAATTTCTAATATTGTGTTCATGTCTATGATGGTATGCTAAGAAGGGAATGTAATTGCAGGCTATATCAATAATTCAATGTTTGTGGATATTATGGAGAAGAATAAACATCAAGGTATTACATTTGTCCCTTTAGCAATAGGTTCAATTAGATTTCTTCAAGTGGAATGCAAAAAGAGAAAGTAATTATATTACATAGTTTCATTTATTATAAAAAAACAAAACTCTCTTCCGCTACAAATATGTTTATTTTGTGATTTTCAAGATTTGGATTAAGTTATTTTACACTATCATTATATTACAAGTAGTTTTTAAAGTTTTCTTCATTAGCTGATATTCTAGACTAATGTCTATGCTGTGGGCAAGGTGCTATTTACTTCATTATTTGTCTCCTAAACTTCGTTATTTCTTGCTGTTTCAATTTGTATCATCTTTATATATATGTGGTGCATGGATATCTCAGTTCACACATATATACAGTTAAGACGAATATGAAAGCAGGCAATCTGTCATTTGCATTGAAGTCCTTGTCATGCAATTAAATGTTACATACTAGCCTGATAGAAACTGCCAATATTTATGGACTTTGCCTACTTCAATTAAGTTTACATATTGAAATGTTGATCCTTGATTGTGTCTTGAGTTTTCAGTACTTCCACAATTAAGGAGTGTGACTTCAATGGAATTGGGTTGTGATGCTCGAGGGTTTTCTCGTGCTGGAAATGACACCAAGGTTTGGTACTGTGTTGTTTTAGCTGGAAGGCAAAGCAAAGAACTTAATGAAATGCGTGAAGTAAGCACCTTTCCCTGTCAATTTTTAATAGCTCAGGCCCTGTTTGGTTGTTTGGCATAAGTACAGTGTTTACTTGGTGCAGTCTCTTGGTCTATTCTTTTGGTTCCATGTATTGCCTAATAACCATGAATTTAAGAGGTGAAATTTAAAGAACTGATTTGTTTCATTTCTTTTTGGTGGTTGGGGTAGGGGACACATTTTCACTGGTAGCTTAATTTTTTGATATATTCATTATTAAATTATTTCAATAAATCATTTACCTATGTAATAGACCATGCGCAGGCTGCAAGAAACACTTTCAAATGAAGAGTTGAATAAAGTTGATCAAGATCCACTCTCAACTTCAGCAGAAGTGGCACTGAAAGAAAAACGATTGACATTTACCTGGCTTGATGGGGAAAATCAGAAAGTAAATGCATCATTGTTTTCTTTAAGCTTATATATTTATTTATTTATTTATTTGTTTCTTTGACCTGTTTATTTGCAGTATGTGTTTGTATGTGTACATTCATATCATGTGTATGCAATAGTAATTGTCTTTAATCATGTTGCAATGACAGAGATACTGCTTCTTCTATGTCAACTCAGAAAATAGTTATGATACCTGTGGACCTAGATATGATTTAACAGATGCTCCAAAGTTATTTATTGTTCGTTATTCAAGAACTGCTGCTGAAGATGAAAAGAGTGAGAATTTGCACAAAAACAGTTATGAAGCATTGTTTGCAGCTGATAGTGATCCTGCTTCCCAACTTGTGGCGACATATAATGGTTCACGTGAAATTCCAGAGGTGAGATCAACTGCCTTGATGAAATTTTTCTAAAGTTACTTGTTGCATTGGGTATCTGGTTGATTTCAAATTTATTAGTGTCATTTGTTTTTGTTTGTAAGCCATGCCTGCCATACCAGCCACTAACTTGATTGCTTGAATTATTATGCAATAAAATTTCTAGTTATGCCTTCAAATTCCCACCCTAGCAGAGCCTAGCACAGCCAAGTTGCATGATTTAAAATCTGAACAAAGACTTGAAACCAGATTGTTTTCCTATTTTTCTATTATATTGAGTCACTAAAGTAATGTTTGCAATCTAAGAATGAGAAAATATTACCTAGAAATTTTATGTTTCTAAAGTTTCTTGCTTTTATTCGCTAGCCACTTGCGAAGTGATAGGGTTATGGGAATGAGACAGTGGTTCTCATGAATATATTTCTATTTCCAGATTTTTCTCACTTTGAACCATTACATATTTGGTTGACAGATTGTACGATGGATTTCTGTGATAATCAAAGATGGTGACTCCAATGATCTACCATCTTTTGTAAGTTCTCGCCACCTCTTCTTTTTGCCTTCAGACCTTTATTCTGCATGTAACCCTTTATTAATTTTCATTGTCTTTGCAAAAGCATTGCTGAAAACCTTGTAAGATGCCTCAAGTGTCATTTCTTATGTATGTCCATTCTTTTTGGGTGGTAGGTGACACCATTTAAATTAACATTTTAGTGTTAGTTGTATATATTTAATGAGTTTCCTGTGCCAAGCATTGTGATACATTAGGGTTCAAACCCTCTAATCATGTCTTGGATTTTATAACGTGTAATGAGAATCATCTTTATCTAATACGGAGTAGTATTTTTCTGCAGTTTACTGGCTTTGAGTATATTTAGGAGTACAACAAACTATCTCTGCTTTCATTATCTTTTACATTCTAGTATTTTTGTGTTTTCAGAAAACCAAGACTCCTGAGCTGGTTCCTGAGGATGCAGATTCCATTTGGTCCACTGGTTCAGAAAGAATCACTGCCCCTACCAAAGGAATAAAGCTAAAGATGAAAGGTTTTGTAAATCAAATCCATGATTACCTAGGGGATCCCAGGATTGGACCTTTCTTGCTTTTGGGAGCATTAATCTCATTCGCTCACATTTGGGTTCGAAAAAGTCAGTCCAGTAATATAAAACAGTCAAATGATTCAAGCCAACCACCAAGTGAAACAAACAATTCGAGTAGTAAGCCAAAACCGAAGGTTAATACCGACTTTATACTTGTTAATTCGTGTTTCAATTCTTGGCTTTAATATTGGATATATCCATTGCAACATCCTTGAATCTTTATTTTATACCCGGCAGGATAAGAGGCCAAAGTTAAGGAAAGGACCAAGAAACCAACTGATACCACCTTCCATCACTGATACGGAGCCAAAAAATGCTCAACAGATTGAATTCTCAGACTCTGATACTGAGTAGTGTGGTGTGGTTTAGATCACCAACTGACAGTGAATGGAGATGGAGATGGTGCTTCTCAAGGTAACTATTTGATAGTTTGATAGGGGATCCCTAACTACACACAATTTGAGTTTTGGTCCTTGCAACAAACAAACAAACATGGCATATTATTGCTTGCTTTATATAATAATTATTATTTCATCCTACCAGTATTTTGTTTGAAATAAGTTTTCTTACATTTGTTTTTACAAGTGACCCTTTTGACAAGGAAATAATTTATCTGGCTGTAACAACTAAAGTATTGCCAAAGAGGTAAAAATAAAATAAAGAAGTAAAATCTCTCTAATTCCTCTACGCATTGGGATAGTCCAGTTCCCAATAGTGGAGTGGTAGGAGTGGTATCAGAGCTTAGATTGTGAAATCTTAGACGGAAATAGAATTGATTAGGAATTGATTAGGTTCTGATACAAGATGGTATCAGAACTTATGTTTTAAAATCTTAGGCATAGAAAATAGAATTAATTAATGGCTCTGATACAAAATGGTATCAAAGTGGTACAAACCTTTGGTATATAAGATTTGGGATATAAGAAGCTGAGTTACAGAGTGATCTTAAAGTATATGAATTTTGGTTATAGGAATTAGGGAAAATAGTCAAATACACCCCATGAACTTTATATGAGAAGTCAATTAGACCATTGAACTTTTAAAAGTTGCAATTAAACCTTAACTTGTTATTTTCGTTCATTTAGAGCTAACAATAAGTTAATTACCCGTAATAGCAGGTAAGTTGCTGATGTGGCATTTTAAAAATAAATACTAATAATAAATTAAAATAAGAACAATAATCCACCGCCGCGGCAATAGACATCTTGCGATGGGAGGGAGGGCAGGAAGGTTTTGTAAATCAAATCCATGATTACCTAGCTAGGGGATGCACGTATTGGGCCTTTCTTGCTTCTGGAAGCATTAATTTCATTCGGTCACATTTGGGTATGAAAAAGTCAATCCACCAATGTAAAACAGTCAAATGATTCAAGCTAACCACCAAGTGAAACAAATGACTCGAGTACTAAGCCAAAATCGAAGGTTAATACGGATTTTTATACTTGTTAACGCGTTTTGGTCATTTTATCCTTTTTATTTTATCTTTTTGTACCATCTCGATTCATGTTTCAATTCATAACTCTAATATTGGATATAGCCATTGCATATCTGAAACCACTGATACCACCTTCCATCACTGATATGGAGCTAAAAGATGCTCAACAGATTGAATTCTTAGACTCTGATACTGTGTAGTGTGGTGTGGTTCAGATCACCAACTGGTAGTGATGGAGATGGAAATGGTGCTTCCCAAGATAACTCGATAGCTTGATAGGAGACCCCTAACTATACACAATCTGAGTTTTGGCCCTTGCAACATACATGACACTTGCTTTATAATAATAATTATTTCACCCTACCAATATTTTATTTTGAATAAGATTTCTTACATTTGGTTTAACAAGTCACACTTTTGGCAATGAAAAAATTAATCTGGCTGTAACAACAATAAAAGTATTGCGAAAGACGTAAAAATAAAATAAAGATGAAAAAAACATGGGTAAATTTTGAGGAGTGCACTTGAACTAAGAATATAGTATTTGGGAATTATTTAACGGTTTTTTTTTTTTTTTTTTTTTTTTTATAAATATGATTATGATTTTTTAAAAATATTTTAGAATACATTACATGATACATGAAAGAATTATTTGGTAACCAAAATTAATTTCAAATATCCTTTAGAGAAAATGGCACTTTTTCCCCCTATGTTATATACTTATAGCACTTTTTTCCTCTCAATTATTTATGTAAGCACATTAGCCCCCTCAATTATTTTAAAAGTGGTGGTTTTCCCCCCTAATATATTAAATTGACATTTCTACCCTTAAAGTAAACATTTTATTTATTTTACTTCTCCAACAAATTATTGCGTATATGTAGCTATTACCACGGTTCGGTTCGAACTGAACCAGACACTATAACAATCGAATTAAAAGTTTTCAGTTATGATTCAGATCTAGAACCCAATATTTGGATTTCAATTTATTAAATTTAAGAATAAAAAAAAAATTGGATCATGAACCGGCGGTTCCGGATCCCGTTCGCGATTTTGAACTGTCTATATTTTAAAATTTTATTTTTTATTTTAAAATAGTTTAAATTCAACAATAAATGCATTTTATTTTTTCAGTTCGGAACATGAACCGGCCATTCCAGTTCGCGATTTTAATAAACTCTAAATATCGCGTTTTGATTATAAATTGTAATTGGAATATTTTGGTTTGGTTACTATAGTATCTGGTTTGAACCAAATTATAGTAATAATTTATTGGAGAATAAAAATAAATGAAATATTTATTTTAAGGGTAAATATGTCCATTTAACATTTCAGGGGGAAAAAGAGCCACTTAAATAATTGAGGGGGAAAAAATGCTATAAGTATATAACATAGGGGGAAAAAGTGCCATTTTCCCTATCCTTTATATAATAAAGCTATATGGTTTGGGAAATAATTAATGTTACAATTAATGCCACAACATCCTTTATTATATATATAAAAAAACACAACATTTAAAAAATAAAATAGCTATATATTATATAATCATATAAAAAATATACTTTTGAAAAATAAAATAGCTATATATATTATATAATCATATAAAAAATGTGTTCAATTAGAGTTTAAATTTACACATACAAAATTTGAAATTTGCTTTCAAAATGTAATTATCTTAGTTATTATTCGTATTGTAAAAATTATAATATAGATGAAATACAATTAAGAATAAATCAATGTAATTATGTAAATTCTCTCTATAAGTTTATTTGAATATGCACATAATTAGAGATTATATTGACCATACAAAATTATAATTTTAATTTTAATTGTAATTTTGTATTCTATAAAAATAATAAATACTTGACCAATGGAAGCTCAAAAATATTATTATATTAAATAATTTAAAATATTTTAGTTTTTCTATTTTTTTATTTATATTTATAATAACATAATTTTTTCCCGTGCATCGCGCGGGTGAATTATTAGTTAATATTAATTTAATAAGAATAATATTAATATTTTATAATATTAACTGAAATTTTAAAGAGAAAATGGTCAAATATATCATCGAATTTTATATGAGAAATCAATTAAACTCTTAAAATTTTAAAAATTACAACAAAGCACATCAAAATGTCATTTTTGCATTGAATTCCAAAAATCAGTTAGTGACTTGTAATAGCAGGTTGTTAGCGTTCTGGCAATTTTTTTTATTTTTTTTGGCTATTTTGGAGAAAAAATTGGCAATTGACGAACGGTTATTGGTCGACCCACTAGTTGTCTTTTTCATCGGAGAAGGCAATCAACGAAAAAATGGGGCAATAATTGGCGGAAAAAGAGAGACTTGCAAAAAAAAAAAAAACGTATTATTAGAAAAAAGAAATGAAATACATAAAAATTGAAGGCAAACAACTTATAAATAATAGTACATGCTCAAATTGTTAGGAACAACATTGAAATAATCATGTTTATAAGTCTATAAATTTTAGAATGTGTGTTAGGGTTCATGGTGAACTCTTCTTGTAGCCATTATGATAGAAATCATTTCCTTTAAATCTTAAATTGTAAACAAAAAAAATATACCCACAAAAAAGAGTAATTCAAAAACTAATGAAAATACACTTGTATTCATTGTGTTGATCATGTCTCATCCAAAGTAACTTGAAATAAAGATGTAACTCAGAGACGGACGTGTCAAAGAAACATGGCAAGGAAGTCTATTCCAACATGGCAAAATCCTTTTGGAGGTAATTAGCTTGGTAAAACTATCAAATCAATCTAAGCATCATGTCATTAAGGAAAATATTATTACTACTCATAAATTCTACTTTCAACTTTTACTTCTCTCACAAAATTTTAATGTTGACATCATTATTGGGACCCATATGATAACAATAATTAATAATCAATTGTCACATCAAAAGCAAAATTGAGGAAGTAGAAATATAGAATACATGTAATAAAACTCTGAAATTAAAATGACCTTATCTAACAATGAAAACAAGACAGAAATAGGAAATCCTTTTGATCTACAAATTTGGGATGTTTAACCAACCATTAAAGTAGCAGCTTCATCCCCCAATACTTCGTTAGATGAATAGATCAGAATGCCATGTAAAAACAAAAATGAGAACAAGATTGCTGCATTTTAATTTGCCCATGATTATCACATAGCAGGGAGCAACCTGGGTTGCTGAGTGTATATACAGATGCTGATTGGGGTGGTTGCACCTCCAGTGGGCGGTCCACTACAGCTTATTTACTGTATTTTGGGTCCAATCTTGTTTCCTGGAAGTCCACCCGTCAGAAGTCGGTTTCACGTTCGTTTACGAAGCCGAGTACCGAGCCTTAGCAAACGCCGCTGCAGAGGTTCTGTGTGTCAAGAATTTGCTGCATGAGCTCCAGACGCGACTGTTGAAGCCTCCAGTTCTGCTTTGTGACAACCTCAGCTCTACATACGTGTGTAAAAATTCGGTGTTTCATTCACGCATGAAGCACTTCGCGCTCGACTATTTCTTTGTTCGGGACTTGGTTGCTAATGGTTCGTTGGTGGTGCGGCACATTTCTTCATCGGCTCAGCTTGCTGATTTTCTCACCAAGTCGTTGAGCCGTTCGTTATTTCTTCTTTTCTGTTCCAAGATTGGAGTCTCCGATGGATCCTCTATCTTGCAGGGGCGTGGATACTTGTGGCTGATACGTTTCGTCTCTATTTAGTTTTAATTATTCTCCTTTAGAATAGCAGTGTTAAATTGGACAACTTCCTACTAACCACTTGCTAGCTTCTCTCCCTTATATGCTATTTATGCTATTCTAGGAAAAAGAATGAAATAGGATAGAGAACAACATATATACGAGTAGGATAGAGAACAACATATATACGAGTCCGGTATGGAAGAATAGCAGTGTTAAATTGGACAACTTCCTACTAACCACTTGCTAGCTTCTCTCCCTTATATGCTATTTATGCTATTCTAGGAAAAAGAATGAAATAGCAGTGTTAATTATTCTCCTTTAGAATAGCAGTGTTAAATTGGACAACTTCCTACTAACCACTTGCTAGCTTCTCTCCCTTATATGCTATTTATGCTATTCTAGGAAAAAGAATGAAATAGGATAGAGAACAACATATATACGAGTAG